TGCATTGTGATCTTCTTGTAAGTAATCATTTAATTGCAGTGATTGAACCTAGTCCATAATATTTTTTTCCCCATTGTTCTGCTCACAGCTTTAAAAATTAAATTGAGTAAAACAGCTGTGATTTCATCCTGTTCCCTTTCCTTACATCTGTGCCATGGGACTCGGGGTGATCTCAGATTCCACGTGGTGGATTTGAGTGTATGCCCTGTTCTGTCCCACCCTGCCACACACATTTACCTGTGTCAAGTCCCAGCCACAATTCCACCCACCTGCAACAAAGCTGAAAGTTCAAACCAACAGTCAAGGTGCTAAAATTCTGCCTACCTTCCGTCTGCAGGGTGAAAAAGAGCATCCAGGACAGATGCAGACCCTGGCAGCACTATTGAGCCAGTGAGATGTTTCTTTGTTGCTCGTGTGCCTCAGGCAGCTCTACCAGCAGAACGTTCTAGAACTATTCTGACATCAGTCTAGGTCAGAGGAAGCCCCAGGCCTGCAGTTTTCTTCTGCCTTTCCAAAACAGAGCGAAACAGTTCACAAAATTCGTGCTTCAAAGGACCAAAACAGGACATGCGAGGCAACCACAGTGAATGATGCATTTATAACTCTCTTGTTCCACAACCCTTATAAAATGAACTCTGTATCAATCTCCCTCATTTTATGTTTCTGATAGATATCTAGATATCTAGATATAGAGATATTTATATATATCTCTGTATAGATATATATATATGACTTGCTAGTTAAAATGAAATCTGGGATTTGGGAAATACAGAAGTTGCTTAATAAAAATATAGCACCTATCAGGGCCTAGGAGCAAGTCAGACTCACAGCTCCTAGCTTCAAAGTACACAGAATTATGAAAAACTAATTACTTTACTGATCACATCCTCAGAGCTGTGCTTTGATGGGTAAGATCCTGAAAGTTCAGAGAGGGCTATTCCGAGTTCACAAGGTGCGTAGAAAAGGAAAATAACTAAATATTAGCTACTACGTATTTTTTGTATCCTTCGAAAGTAAAAATGTGAAGTATCTCTAGCAACAAGATAGCTGATAAAGTTCTGTGAAGGAAAACTGTTCCTAACATCTCAGTGTTATCCTTTAGTCTCTCTTGCCATTTCACATTCACTAATTAGACTCACAAAAATTCCTGCCAGTTAAAGAAAACTGCCTATGTGATAAATGCAGGCAACTGAAACATGGGACAAGCTGAGGGAAGGTTTGTGTGCCACAATGCAGTGTTGCACCAGGAAACCTGAAGGAGGAAAGCTGGTACAGCAAAGATACTGGTCTAGATCTTGAAATTAGCCCACCTAACCAGTCTGGTCTCTCAACAGGGCCAGTTAATCTATGTACAGAGCTGTGCTAAGATGCCTCTGGTTGTTCCAGTTTGCTCCCTGGTACCATGCAGGTGTACCCTAAATTACCTGCCTGCTGTCTGGTCAGTGAGTGGAGCGTGGGCTTTCCCTGTGTCCCAGGCAAATACTTTGACATCTACCCATTCTTCTTATATCCTTACAGTAAACCAACTGCAGCAGATAAAACCATGTTCTGGCCCTGTTAAGCTTATAGGTGCAAATGTGGACAATGTATTTATAACACAAAACTATCCAATTGCTTCTCAGGCAGGAACTTGATCCTCCTCCCAGAGGCCGAGCCCTCGTGTCCTAAAACACTGTATTAAATGTTGGTGTAGTGGCCCTTCAGGAACCCCAGGCTCCAGAGACCAAGGTGAGAGTATGGAGCAAAGAAGATGCACCCTTGGTGAAGGAGGATCAGGCCAGGGAATGCTTAAGCAAATGGGATATATGTGAGTCCTCTGGGCCTGATGGGATGCACCCACAAGTGCTGAGGGAGGTGGGAGATCTCATCACAAGGCCACTCTCCATCATCTTTGAATGACCACGGCAACTGGGAGAAATGCCCAAGGACTGGAGGAAAGCAAACACCACTCCCAGCTCCAAGAAAGGCAGAATGGAGGAGTCAGCCTTGCTTGATCCCTGAGAGGGTGATGGAGCAGCTAAGCCTGGACCCTACTTGCACACCTATGAGGAACAAGGTGGTCAGTCACAATCAGGAGGGTCTCACCAAAGGCAAGTCGTGCTTGACCAACAGTATAAACTCATACAATGAAACTGCTGGTTTGGCCCACAAGGGGAGAGCAGTGGACATTGTCTGCTGAGACTTTTGACACTGTCTGCCATCAGATCCTCACGGAGAAGCTGATGAAACACGGGCTGGATGAGCAGACAGTGAGGCGGGCTGAAAACTGGCTGAAGGGCTGGACCCAGAGGGTGATGATCAATGGCACAAAGACTGATAGAGGCCTGTGACTAGTGGTGACCCCAGGGGCCAATACTGGGTTCAGTCCTGTTCGACAGCTCTGTTAATGATCTGGATGGTGGGGCAGAGTGTATCTTTGGCAAATTCACTGGTGACACAAAATTGGGAGGCATGGCTGACACAGCAGGGAGTTGTGCCATCCAGAGGGATGTGGACAGGCTGGAGAAATGGGCTGACAATATCTTACAAAGTTCAGCAAGGGGACCCATGCAGTCCTGCACCCAGGGAGGAACAACTCCAGCCACCAGCACATGCTGGGAGCCAGTTGGCTGGAAAGCAGCCTTGTGGAAAGGACCTGTGGGTCCTGGTCAACTGCAAATTTAACATGAGCCCACAAATGTCCTTCCAGCAAAGAAGGCAAATGGCATCCTCGACTGTACTAGGAGGAGTGCTGCCAGCAGGCTGAGGGGAGTAAATCCTTCTCCTCTTCTCAGCAGTGGTGAGACCACACCTGAAATGCTGTTTCTCCACCAGAGAGAGTCCACTGAAAGGCCACTAAGATGATTAATGGGCTGGAGCATCTCCCATATGAGGAAAGGCTGAGGGTACTGGGGGGGGGAGAAGCAAGAGAAGTCCCAGGGAGGGGATTTTATCAATGTATATAAATGTCTGAAGGGAGGGTGAAAAGAGGACAGAGTCAGGCTCTTTTCAGTGGTTCCCAAGGGACAGAACAAGATGCAAGGGGCACGAACTGAAACACACCTTTTCACTGTGAGGGTGACCAAGCACTGGAACAGGTTGTTCAGAGAAGTTGTAGAGTCCAGGGAGATATTCAAAAGCCATCAATCTGGACATGGTCCTGGACAACGGGCTCTGGGTGGCCCTGATTGGAACGGGGGGCTGGACCATCTGACCTCCAGAGGTCCCTTCCATCCACAACCTTTCCGTGATTCTGCCAAGTACTCTCCTCCCTTTCCTTCTTATCTTCGCTTCTAGCCATGAATGTGCTTGAAAATGTCCAGCAAACAAGCCTTTGCTGTCTGGTCTGTGAGTCCACGTGGCTTCTGCACCTCATCACAGCCTCAATGACTGGTTGTTTTAGCACATGGACTGGGAAAAAAAATTCAGGTGAGGTTCTTTGGATGGGAGCTGCCAGGGATAAGCATAGACAGAGCACGAAAAAAAAAGGCAGGAAAAAAATGAGGACACAAATAGCGATAAGCTGATAAGGCAGCACTCTGAAAACCAAACAGGAACTCACTGAAACTGAATATGGCAAAAATAAATAATTCTGGAACTTTTATTTACTATCAAAACACAATTTCCTCCCCTTTATCGCAAACCTCCTACTGATAACAACAGTCATTCAGCACAGTCTGCAGAAAGTACTTAGTCCTGAATCGATGTTCCAGGCTTGCAGATCACAAAGAAACACAGAACTGGGGTTTTCCTCCTCCCAGTTAGTTTGACATCCTGAGCAGAGGAGATGGGGAGGCACTGGGAAAAAAAGGGAAGCTCATGTTCACCCTTCCATAGGAGGCAGGGGGGAAAATAAATGGCTTGTAATCTCCTTGGCTGTTCCCTCAGCCTGTGAAGGCCAGTCCCAGACCCCCAAGTGTTATCCTGACGTGTAAAGGGGTGCCTTCCTCTGGAATGCTTGTTTGGTACAGAGGGGAAGTGTGGAATGTCATCCACTGGGATTCATCATTTTGCCACAAACCAGGTGAGTAAACCTGAGCCTCCTGAACACAAAGATTATATGATCTTCCTTTCTGGGGGAGGGAGCCAGACCCACCTTGTGCCCACAAGTGGCATCAAAAGGGTTATTTATGTGTGCAAAGGTGAGCAGGGCTGTTCACGTGGCTTTTCATTCCCAGTTGTTGCTTAGTGTGCAAACGGCACGCCAGTGCAAGGGGAAACCTTTTGCTGCACAAAAAAACCAACAAAAAATATTATATTTAACACTTCTGTCTTCACTCTCCCTACCAAAACTCCCCCTTTTGGCCCATCCTTGGGAGCGCTCTTCTCATCCCCTTCTGCCCGGGTTTTGGAGAGAATCGCTGGCTCAGGGAGCACCTGCTCCCTGCCCACCCCGAGCCCCTCTCACCCCAGAGCACCAGGAGCCCACCCAGAGCCCCTCTATCCCCCTGGGGCACCAGGCATCCACTCTGAGGGCACGAGGCACCCATCCCGAACCCCTCCCATTCCCAGGGCACCAGACATCCATCCAGAACCCCTCCTACACCCGGGGTACCAGGCATCCACCCCGAACCCCTCTTATCCCTGCATCGCCAGGCGCCCACTCCGAGCCCCTCTACCCCTGGGGCATCAGGAGCGCACCCCAAGACTCTCTTACCCCCGGGGCACTGGGCGCCCACACCGAGCCCCTCTACCCCCATCTACCTCCGAGAACCAGGCGTCCAGCACGAACCCCTCTTACACCCAGCGTACCAGGAGCCCGCTCCAAGACCCTTTTATCCCCCGGGGCACCGGGAGCCCACCACGAGCCCCTCTACCCGCGGGGGCACCAGACACCCATCACCGCAACCCCATCACCACCCCCTCGTCCCTCCCCGCAGGCACCGCCCGCGCCGGTCGGGGCCATCCCCGGGGCCGTGTCTGCGCCCGTGGCCGTGTCCGGGTTCCCCCCACGCCGCCCCGGGGCGGGGACTGCGCCGTGGGCGGGCGGGGCAGGCGGCGCGTCCCGGGGCATCCGATCCATCCCATCCGCTCCGCTCCGCTCCGCTCCGGCGGTCCCTGCGCCGCCCGCAGGGTCGAGCCGAGCGCGGGGCTGCGGCCGCCGCCGAGCGCTCCGCGGAGAAGGCTCCGGAGCCGCGGCCCCCATTATGCTCAGCCATGGCGTGGCTGCCGGGCGGGCTGGCCGAGCTGCGCTGGGGCGCGCTGGTCGCCCTGTTCGTGGCGGCGCTGGCCACGCTGGCCGTGTACCTGGTGCAGTACGCGCTGCTGGCGCTGCGCCGCCGCCGCCCTCCGCCTGTGCCGGCTCCCGCCGCTCCCGCTCCGCGGGACGAGCTGCTGGACGAGGGCGGCTCGGTGCTGGCCTGGGCGCTGTCGCGGGGCAGCTGGAGGCGGCAGTGGCGCCGGGCCTGGGTGGCCGCGCTGCGGGCCGAGGCGGCGGAGCGGGCGGTGAGTGCTGGGGATGCAGGTGAGGGAGGGATGGGAGAGGGGGGGGGATGCCCGGCCGGGATGCTGCGGGCGGCTCCCCGCGCTCGCCGGGATGGGGGTGGGGGGGACGCGGCTCCGGGCTGTCCCCGCTCCTAGGGGCGCCGCGATTTGCTCCGGGGATAAACCCGGAGGGTGTTGCCGGCGTGTTCCTGCCCCTCCGTGTGTCTGTGTATTTACACGTGTGCGTTTGGTGGCTGCTCGGCGGGGGTTTGCAGGAAGGAGCCGGGCAGAGGCACGGGATGGGCGCACGCGTGGGAGCTGGGGAGGATGGGGGAGGAAGGGAAGCCGCGACCCCCGCAGCCCCTGGCAGGGGTTCCCACCGCCGATAACATTGTTCGGGCGTGGGGAGGAGGAAACAATGGAAACTTCCTGGCCTGGGCCTGCGGCCCGTCCTTCGGCAAATAATTCCCAGAGCTGGGCTTCCCCCGTGTTGCCTCAGGCCCTGCTCACTCCGTGTGTGTGTGTGTGTGTAGTGTGACTCCAAAGGCTGGCGTCCCTCAGACCCGCTGGATGGTGGGATGCTCAGGGTTTGGTCGGTTTGCTTTTAGCCTGGGGCAGGGAGGATGCACGAGACGTGGCTGGCATTCCTTCCCATCCCAACCTGCCCTTCCTGCAAAGGGCACAGCGTGGGATCCTGCTCGTTGGTGTGTAGTGGCATGCCCGGGTCTAAGAGGTGAAGAGCTTAGGCGAGGCTGTGGCAACCTGATTTCCTTGTCCTGAGGACTGAACCCTTGTCATGTCAGTGGAAAATGCTGAGGCTAAACTATCTAGGAAGCGGCATGTCCCCAGGTCTCCAAATTTCCTCACATCCCTCTCCCTGGGGGAGACCTCTTAGACCTGGGAGGTTCCGTTCTTCTTGCACGTCAGGGGAGAAGGAAGAGTGGGGCACCATGTGTGAGTGAAAGATAAGGGATATAAATTTAACACTTTCCGAATGCCACCGTGAGTTAGGGCAGTGGGAGGAAAATACTTCGTCCGCCCTTTCAAAATATGCGTGCCGAGAAAAGCACGGGCTGTGCTGAGAAACGAAGGTTTGCCCTGCGGGTTGCGGGAGAGAAGAGCCCAGACAGCTCGGGCACAGGTGCTGGGAACTGAAAGTGAACCGGGCACAAGTGGCAGCTTCCCGTCCCCGAGCAGAGACCGAAGCGGCTCCGACAGGGACGCGCACACCCTTCCCCTGCCCGGGCGAGCAGCTGGAGCGCCGAGTTCCCCGCCTGGCACTGCAGCGTGGCCGTGCTCCCGCTGTCAGCCTCCCAAAACAATGTCAGCGGCGCTCGGCTAATGAAATTCCTGCGTGCGAAAACAAGGCCGGGTGACGAGGGGAGCGGGGAGCAGGTGGGGAATGCAGCGCTGATGCTTCTCAAAGTATGACCTCACTTGCCAAAACGCTGCCTTCCCCTTCGCTGTCTTGTGTGGAGGCTGGGTGGCTGTCAGCGCTGCCTGCCGTCACAGACAGGGAGGACCGGGGAGGAGAAGCCTTCTTTCCTCACCTCTGCAGGATGATTATTTGGGGCTTCTCAGTTTTGGCACAGCCTAGTGCGGCCGTATTATTGGGCCAAAGCAAACAGGCCTTTTCAAACTGCAGCACTGATAAAATCCTTACTCAAGAGGAGCAGTTTCGCTGTTGCTTTGCCCTGCACTGTGCTGTGCACCTTGGTATTCTGCTGCAAGGATGAGTTATGATTAGGCCCACGGTTATGTCCTAAGTATATGTTTCCAAGCTCTACCCTATATTATGTAGTGAGGTGTCGTGCAATTAATACACAGAAGTTTTGACATACATTTGCAATTCCAGGAACTTGACTGGCGGTGCATTTTTTATCACTTGTTTTCAAGCAATGGCTTCGTCACCTAATGATGGATGGTTTTTTTTTTCCTTCTTTCTCAGGATTCTCAGCTGCTCACGTTTGAGGAAGATGACCCACCAGAGCCACTTGAGCTGGCAGTTAAAGAAGTAATTAGTGTTGTAAAGTCAGCTGAAGAGAAGGTAAACTTTGGATTCCTTGTGTTCCAGTGTACTTTGGGGCAGGAAACGTAAACTTTTATTAGCGTCAGTGGGAGCTTTATTTGTCAATACTCCTGTACCCTTGACCCACGTTTGCTGAGGCTGGTAAGAGGCTGCCTCTCTAATAAACCTCTGCATTGATTCACTTCTTTTGCAGGTCATGAGCAGAAGGTGCTCCAGGGCTTATACCAAATGAACAATAAATAAACAGGGTTATGCCAAATTTATGGGTACGCCCTCCATGAGCTCATAGAGCAGAGCCCTCTCCCCCACCTACACAGTCCTTGGGATGGCTCCCCAGCCTGTTGTTGAAGAGTGGGGAGGGGACTCCACAAAGAAAGAAAGAAAGAAAGGGACATTTCTCCTGCGGGATAGGAAAACATCTTTGCCTGCCTCTTGTTGTTTGTGTGGCTGATGACAGGTTTGCTTCATAAGTGGGAGCTGGGTAAGGATCAGTGGAAGAGGTGCAAAGTCCTGGGGGTGAAGTCTTGGCTGGGCTGAATCCTGTGAGGAGCAAGTGATTTCCTTCTTCCTCTCCCATTGCACAAACTGGCAGGTGTTTCAGTGCCTGTGAAATTAAAACAAGGCAGAATGTGGCTCTTTAAAAAGGGCAAAAATGCATTAAAAGGGAAAAAAAAGATTTATGTATGCTTATTATTATTCTGCTTTTTTGTCCTAGTGGCTGTAAGTGCTACTTACATCCGAGCTTGTGCTCAGCTTTAGGCACCTGCATCAAATTAGCCTGCAGCTTTTCTTTTAGTTTTGCTCTGTTATTTTGCTTTGCTTGTCTGATTTAGATGTTAAGCAGCTCTACTATGATTCCTCTGAAAACTATGCATGCTTATCTGCCTGATACACAACTTAGAGGCACACCCTGACTGGTGGCAGCTGGGGGATTGTGAACTTGTAAAGTTGTTTGTGCACTTGTTTTCTCTCTTTTTATTTGGTGGGATGTTTTTGTTGTTTTTTCTTCCCTCCCAGAAATGGGGGTGGAGAGACTGGATTTAGTGGGGCTGTAGAGGTGACACAAGTGTTAACTCTGTGCCACTGGAAGACACCACGATGGGGAATTGTAAGGAGAGGGGGCTGCTAGGTGAAGCCAGCACCGGATCTGCTGCGAGTAGAAGCTGGCAGATAACAGCTCAAGAAACTGTTGTCTTGCAGGGCAACGTTTCTAAAACATTGCTGGAAATTGGGCAGGCCTGCAAATGTGTGTGCATGGGAGAAGGCCAGGAGGGGGTCTGGGCCTTCTGGCTGCCCTTGGGCCGTGAGAGCATCATCATCTCCAGCCTGTGTGCCAGAACCAAAGCACAGTGCTGCAGTCCTGGATTCCCTTGAAGTCTTGTCGTACCCAGGGAACGTTCTGCTTCAGTCCTCAGCTGACCTGGGTGTTGTTACCCTGTAGGTTCTGACAGCCATAGCAGGGAGGTAAGTTAGTGCCCACAGTGCCCTGTGGGCACCTTCCCCTGCTGTGGTGAAGTTTGGGCAGCAGGAAGGAGCAGGGGCTGACTCTGTGGCAGCCTGAATGCAGGGAACTTCTCTATCTCACTACCTGTGGCTTTGGAATCCTCCACCCTCCCTTGTGCAGTCTCTGGTCCTTCTCTCTGACCTTTGGTTGAACCATTTGAGCATGTTAATCGAGCTGTTGCACTGCAGACAGCAATCTGATGTGGTTTCAAAGCAGCTTAAATATAAGCACATTTAAAAATTTATTCAACTAAACCAGGTTTGCTTTCATCCTCTGGGTTGTTCTGAACTGTTCCAAAAAAACCATTTCTATAGCCTTGTGCACAGCTGCTGGAAGAATTTCTCTAAATTATTCTTACTCTTTCAGTTAAGGTTGCAACCTCAGTATTTATTTGAATTTCAGTGTATAATAACCTTAGAGTGGCACTCTGGTACCTACTTTCCCTTCTTCCTTAAATGCATACCTTTCTCTAAACACCTCAGGAGTTCTCTTATATGATAATTGTCTCTTACATATTCCTCAGGTAATATCAGGGTCCAAAGGGTTTTTTTGTGGTGTTTTCTTCCCCTCCCCTTGCTCTTCAAGCTCTCAGTATTTGCATATGAAATTGAAACATCTCTTTGCAGTTTGTCCAAACTGAAGCTTCTGGTACGTGTTTGTAAGTTCTCTACTGGTGTGACTGGCTCTGGATGCAGTTTGTGACCACGTGCTGTGTGTTTATGAGTGTTGTAGCATCCCACAGGGCTCTGCACTTGCCTGAGGCATCAGCTCACACAAGACTCTTTTCCTGCAACCTGTTCGACGTGCTGCTTTACTTGTGATCTGCGCGGCAGGAGCGTGTGGGTGCCCCGGCTCGGCAGCCAGGGTTTGATTTACTGCATGTCGTTCCAAATGCGACTTTGAACCTTGCATCAGAAGGGTTGTGGCCACCCAAGGAAGCAGAGGATTGAGGGTGAGGGATCAAAATAGCAGTAAACATGGGATGTGCAATGCTCTCGTGCAGCTGTGTGTTGATGGAGGCCTCTGTCAGGTGGGTGGTCCCCTGTCCTCTTGCATGCTGGGCCGTGGAGCTCACCAGGTGATGAGCCTGGGAAGTCTTGCTCCAAAAAAAACAGCCAGGCAGACTGTAATTATTATATTACTGCTGCCAGCCCTGTTTATGACCAGGACATGGGCTGGCCCCTGCAGTCCTTAGGTATGTACCCACTGTCCTGGCCTTGAAGAAGCTGAAACTCCATGGTGACGCTGCGTGTGCTGCGCAGTGAAATGCTGCAGACACGGCTGGAATGCTGCTGCCTCTCAGCTTGGCCAAAGCTGTTGTGGTGGGAACAGAGCTGCTCTGTGGCTGAAGCTTACACCACACTGCTCCTCGATAAAGCCTCTGTTTATGTGTCGCCTTCACTCCCAGTTTTGGGCTGGAGCCTAAACATATAGAATGAAGTGGCCTGTTTTCGTTGTGTGGTATTGGCTGTTTTGTTTTGATAAAGTAAACATTAGGAATATTCTTAGCTGTTTCTGCCAGCCTTTCCATCAGTGCTGTCTGTTTCCAGAGGATTTGAACTTCTCAACAGTGACAGCGACAAAAAAGGCAACAAAAAGGAAGATTCTCTTGCTGGGGACTTGGCACAGAGGGTTTGGATGGAGCAGGCAACCACAGAATTCTCCTTTCTTCTTCTGCTTCATGCTTAAATGGAAAGGGGTAAATTTATTTCAGAGTGCCATTCCTTTAATGAGTGATAATAAGTTGCTATATTGTCTTTTACCTCCAGTTTTGCTTGAAAAGCTGTCCCAGAGCTTTGCTGCTTTAATGACTGGGTGGTTGTTTTTTTTTTACAAACCTAGGTGGAATTATGGCCCATGCAGCTTTTATATTTTTTCTTTTTTTTTTTTTTTTTAAGTTTCTGTACTAGTATAACCTTTTATCCTTACTGTGTTTATTCTTCTTCCATGGTTCTTGCTGTCAGTAAATGTATTATGAAGGAATTATATTTCCTTCCAGCTTTTGTTTAGCTTGGCTACATAAGTTGCTCCTTAAGTCTCCTTTCACGATGTTGTCCTGGCTCGTAAGTCTCTCCATTCTCAGCAGCAGCTCCAAGTAAATCCTTGTTCTTGAACTTGGTGACTGAGGTGACACAGGTGAGGTCTCACTGTGCAAGGAGACAGCTTCTTTTAGTCCCTGAAAGTACTTACTTGAGGGGTTTTAGGCTCCAATCTGCCTCTCCTGTGGCTGTTTCACACTGTGACATCTGATTTGTTGCATTCAGGTCTCTCTCCCTGTGGTGTTCTGCCAGTGATAAGATGTCCTCTGTGTGAGTAGTAGTTGTTAATTCTTACACAAACACACACATTACATATTTTGTATTGCATTTCTTTCCTACGTTTCAAGGTTTTTTGGCTTTGCTGTGTGCTGTCCTGGTTTTTCTTTATGTTGCCACTTCCCAGCTTACTTTCCTCAGCGTCACACTTCCTTTCAGGTTTCTCCTGAGGGATTTTGGATGTTAGCTATGCAATAGGTTTGATTTGCAGGCGCCTTTGTAAATTGTTTCCAGCTTTCACCTCCCTGCTCGCTGCCCTCTCCCTTTGAAAAAAAAACCATCCCCATTCCCCTTCATGTGGGAATGACAGACAAAACAACACAATGATCCAAGGTTATTCAGAACTGGGTGTCTTGTCCAAGGAGCTCATCAGGGTGGGGGCTTGTTTGCTTCCCTGGAGGTGACACTGGTTTTGGCACTGTCAGGTAGCCTGTCTTGTCTTCCAGTTGCTACTGCAGATGTGTGTGGGCCTCCTGAAGGCTTGTGCCACATCTCCTGGCTTGGCACAGGGAGCAGGGATGCCTCAGCACCCCCACACAGGTACATTCTGTCTCTGCAACTGAATTGCTCTCCAAGCTACTGTAGCGCAAACTGGCAAACCTCTCCGGGGCTCTGTTGTCTCCTGCTGGCCCTCCTGTCTTCAGCTGTGCTGTCCCCCAGGTGGTTTGTCGAGACTTGCACATCAGCAAGGCTGAAACAGCAGGTCTGTTTCTGTTTTTTATTTATTTCCCCCCTTCTGAAGTGTAAGGACTGCTTCCTGTCCTTGCGCTGTTTGATACTCCCTTAACTTGATAGGTGGATTGAAAATTCTTCCTGTCCCGTTTCCTTGTACTCCTTGCTTGTTTGTTTTACCCCCTCTCCCCTTTTTTTCCCCCCACTTGAATCTCTGTGTGTCGGTCTCAAAGGAGTGGATAAATTCACATGTTTTATCAGTTTCTGCCTTGTTTCTGTGGCTGAGATGGAAACTCTCTCTCCTGCACTCATTCCATCACTCACCCTGCCTTCACCGCGGTATTTACCACCGAGTTGGAAAACTGACTTGAGGTTGTCTCATTGCATTTGCAGGCAGATTCACTTTGATACCAGCTCCTAAAAATCCACACCCACCCGTGCCTGGGTTAGATACTGCATTTGTCTTCTCTCCTTCCTTTGGTCTGTGTCACTTGGTAAGCTGGGTAAGGAGGGGCTGGTGAAGAGGCTGGAGAAACCCCCCCCTCAAGAATTTAAGGCATTGGCTCTGGTAAACAAAGAAGAGCATGTAATTCTTCTTCTGAACAGCTGAGTGTTAGTGACTATCAAAAGGCACAAGTTTCTGACTGGAAAAATTATCTTATGGTAAGGTTTTAAGCAAGCAAACAAACTCTGTGTGGCCGTTGAGAAGATAAGTTTTCTGTGCCAGAAAAGAGCCTTCTGGGAGTAGCACTCCGGGAGAAATTTGGGAAATTGTGAGGATCTTAAATCTGATCCCTGCAGCTGAGATCAAGGCAGCTTTCACTGTGTGGTTGCCTCACGGTGAATACTAATTTTCCTGTGAAAATGTTAAATATTTGTGCTACTTACATACTACTGAGTAACCTCGAGTAACCTGTTCTTTCTGCAAATAAATGCCACGTGCTGTAAAACTGATTTCCTTCCAGAAAACAAACAAAAAAGGCAATTGAGGCCTGTACTGCCTGGGGTTTTACACACACATGTGATGTGGTCAGGGCCTGGGGAAGGTGAAGAACATCTTCCCCATCAGGGCTGTCAGAACTTCCCCCTGAAGTCACAGCCCTCCAGCTCAGGGAGGGAACCTGCTGCTGCCCTTGGAGGGGGAGGGGGAGGAGTAACAAAGAGGGAATGTGTAAGGCACAGATTGTCGGGGTGCCAATGGCAAAACTGAAACCTCAAGGTGAGAGGACGCCACGTGTGAGGAGCAGAGGCAGCACGGTGCTTCTTGAGATGAAGCACCTTCTGCTGCTACTTCAGGAAGGAATAAAAACTGAGATTTTTGCAGCTCTGTCCAGAGGGACTGCAAAGGGAAAATGCTGAGATACAGAGGGGGAGGGCAAAGCAAGGGGAAGGGTTTTAATAGCTGTGAGTACACAAGTTTGGATACTCGAGTGTCTAAAGAAAAATAGTCTTGCTCCAAATGTAGTGCTTTTTCAGTCTCCTTTGTTCCTGCACTTATCTGGAAGAGAATTGTTTTCAGGATAATGGCACTAACAATTTTAGGTATGTGTAAGCAAGTTGTGTCACGGCACCTGCAGGTCCTTGGGAGACAAAGCTCAGTTGGGTTGAGGAGTTTTGCCTCCACAGCTCATCTCCAGCATGGGCCAGTGTGGCCAGGGATGGAGAGGGGAGGCTGGGGGGTGGTGAGGAGGCAGCAGGAATAACCCTGGCATGGGGGTGATAACATGCCAGGAGTCAGCTGGGTGTGGGAAGGGATGGCAGAGGACTGAGGAGGAGCAGGGACACAGCCTTGCAGGCAAAGGTACCTGAGGAAGGGCTGGGAACCCCTTCCATGGGAGATGCCCAAAGCTCATGGAGAGACCTTGGCTGGTGATGGGGTGTTTGTGCCAGGGGAGGTGCTGGAGGGGGAAAATACCTTGGTCTTGGTTTCTTTGTGCTTCTGTTTTACTTCCTTAGAAGATCTGTCTTGCCCAGATGTAGGACCACAAAAGAGAGCTGGGGGGTGACCCCTCTGGGAGTCCAGAATTAGCTGGTCCCAGCTGCTGTGCAGGGCTTAATTTTTAAAAAAGCAGTTTCTTATAAAATATGAAAGATTTTCTAGACTCTAAAACATGAAGTGCTGATGACTGGGGATGTCCCTGGTAAGTGGGGTGTGAGAGAGAGATGAGGAACATAAATCAGGTTGAAGGGCAACTCTCTTCCCATTCAGGTTCCTCTGTTTTCTTGTGGATGTCTGTCCTTCCTCTTTCTCTCCCCTGTCGACCAGAAAGGGATGCTTTGCCTGATCCTTCCTTCTCCAGCTCTTCATCTGTGCAGAGAAAATGAATTTGAGGGAGCAGGTTGGATTGGGGTATGGGGGGGAGAAAGAACATAGCACAGAAAGCTTCCAAATTTGTGTGACTGCCCTGGGGAAATTGGCCTTTATGTTTCTGCTCTGGTCTATCAAAATCATCTGCACTTCTAAAGGAATGTCACTTAACGAGGGAAACAGCAGTTGTGGTCTCTCTAATCAACTTCTCACCACTTGTGGCAGGATCTTAAATAGAAACAGAGTCACTTTCTCTTCAAATTCTAGCCCAGAATTCTGCTGCTCTCAGTGTTCTGACCCTTTAATCCATCCTGATCCCAGAACAAAGGGATTCACCTGATATAAAGATATATTATTTTCCATTTACAAACGTGGAACCCACTCCTTTTTCTGATTGGATTAAAAAAATAACACTTCTGTATCTGAAGACCACATTATTTTACTAAAAGTGAGGGCAGAAGGGGAGTAGGACTTAACAGATGTCTTGGCAGAAAATAAATTAATCCAGAAGACTAGAAGTACAAACCCTACTGGTTTGGGCTTCGAAGCTAAAGGTAAAAAACATTTTTAAAAAATAATTTAGCATCTCTTGACAAAGTGTAGAAAGAAGAATGAAAGTTCCGCCGCCTGCACTGTCTGTTTCCATGCTTTACTTGGAATTAAACATTATTAAGAAACAAGTGGCACATAAAATCTCTGGCCACACTTTTTTTTTTTTTTTAAAGCATTATTCAACCACATACCTGGCAATCTGTGCTCCTAGACATCCAGAAATTCCAGATGACTGGCTCTGCATCACATGTGCAGCAAGTCCAACTTGTTTTGAATGCACTGCACTTCCTGTGGATGTGTGGATGAAATGTGCATGGATGATAAACCACTGCATTTAGGACAGGCAGGTGTCAGCAGCTTTTGCATCAGGCCTGTCCTTTTTGCTCATCTTCCCTCTAAAAAGAGGGAAGAACCTGTTCATTTTTGAAGTCTTCCAAGAGCCAGTCATGTCAGTCCACTATGAATGGAGTGATTCTGTGTTTCAACTGAACTACAAGTGAAATAAGCAGTTGAGCTCTTTTTTCTTGTTAGCTATTAAAAATACCTTAAAATCCTTTATGTTTTACCATAATAGTGGGTGTTCATGTTGATTGTGTGGGATTAATGCCAGAAATCACTTCTGAAGGCATTTAGACTTTGGGAAAGGGGAGAGGTGGGGGAAACTGATTTGTCCACATCTAAACTGTAATTTGCAGAAGACAAACACGAAAAGGCAAATCTTGTTGCTTGTGGGTGGGGTTGGGATTTTTATTTGTCATCTTTGCCTGCCCCCACCCCCTGCTCCTTTGTGATTAAGTCTCTACCTTAATGGATGTTCTCTGAAACCCTTGATAATGCTCTGGCCATCCTTAAAAGGTCCCCTGGGGACCCCAGGGAGATGAAATACATTTAAGGAGAGGCTGATAAGGATCTTCCAGAAGGAACACGATTCACTTTAAAGCCTTCAGCTCCAATTCCAGTGCCCACAGGTGGAGCAGCGAGTGCACAAACACAGTTTAATAGCGTCGTGCAGAGTTTCCGTCAGACGAATCTCGCGGCGAGTTAATTTGTCTGCGCATTGCATTGACCTGATTACCTTTGCCTGAGTCAGTCTGAGGAGGGCTCAGCTGTCCTTTCCAGTGGAGCTGAGGGGACAGTAACCACAGGGGAGGGACAGTGACAAGCAGATGTCTCCAGCCAGCAGGTCTGGCTGCAAAGTGAATGTGTCTCTGTGGTGTAATGAATGTTTTCCGACTTCTGTCCTCGGGGGCTTTTTCTGTGCACGCTCCAGGAATTTCACCTGGCAGCTCCAGCGCCCCAGTCAGTTTGCAGCAGGAGAGGGAGGGAAAACTATTCGGTGTTTGTAAACTCAGTGTGACAACAAGTTAAATTACTGCTCATAAAAGTGAGGGAGTGGACTCAACAAAGCCTGTCGCAGTCAAGCGGCATGCAGAGTCTTCCCAGATGCTTAGTTTTGTCACCAAATATCAGGACCTTTCTTGGTTTGGCCAAAGGCTTGAATAAACTGAAGGCTCCTGTTCCTTCCCATCCCCCTGGGAACTGGAATTACTCAGGCAAAACCCTCTTCTGTAGCAGCAGGGATATGCGAAAGTTTCACATGTGTAGGATACCACTAAACTAAAAGATTGGTAAAAGCAGCTGTCCTGTGTCAGACTACTTAGTTCTGAGCAGAAAAGGAAGAAGAACAAACATCTTTGTCTCCCCTTGTGCAAAATTGCCTCTTTGAGCTTTTAATATCTAGATATATGAAACTGAAAGGAGTCAGGTGAGGAGTTGCTTTTGAATCAGGTAACAATAATACAAAAGAAATTTTGAGAAACACCATAATTTGAAGGCCTTAAATTTCGTGTGCAGAACTGAACACGTGAACTACATTTTTTTAGAAGAAGGTACAGAAGGAGGTAGGAACATTCATGAAACTGCTTAGGAATTTCCCACCTGTGGAATTTAGCATAATTCTTATAATTTAAAGCCCTTCCTTAGTTCCTTTCTTACTTTCACCAGACCTTCTGAAGACTAACTTGTTTCTCTCTTCCTTTGTTTCCCCTCACCCTTTTTACTTCCTTAGGTGGTTTCTTGCAATGTTGTGGGAGATTCTGTAAGATTTGTTGTCGCTGTCTCTGACCCTTCGCCCGCAGCTGCTGAACCCCGGTCCTACAGTGTGAAACTGTCTCCACTTCACTTGCAGGTAAGGGGTTCCTCTCTCTTCTCTCTATTTTGTTACATTTCATCCCGCAGCTATTTGCAAACTGCATATTCACTTTGTGTTAGCTCTGGTAAAACACTTAGTAACGTCACATTTTCCCTCCGGGGCAAGTGGTGAATTCATAAATTATGCCGCCTCTTCAGGAGACTGTGGGTAAATAACACTTTGGGTCGAGTAGTTGGATGTATAGAACAATTCCCTTTTTTGACTGGCATGCACTCTCAAAGATTAAGCACCTTCTGCCTTCTTGGATGGTTGCTTTGAAGTTACTTATAACATTCTTCCTTTGTCAAGCCTTAGTATGGGGCTTGGCCCACAGTTTCTCTACAGAACACCAGAACACTCTACAATAACTGCTTTCTTATCCACAGCTCCAGCTCTCTGTGAAAGACAAAGGAGAAGATGTCAAAGTTGAGTGGTTCCTCATTAACACCAATGAAATCAACTTTGAAATCCAGCCAGCAGTGCAGGAGGTCAGTCAGTAAGTTTAATTTGCTGTAAGGGTGGAGAAGATGGGTCTCCATCCCTTCGGTCCAAAACGCAGTGTAAAGCCTCTGCCACAGCTCAGTCACCAAACCCCTCCATCTCTGAAATCTGGGAGCACCTGTAGAGATTACTGAGCCATTAGAGATAAATCAAGTCTGTGTTTGATGGACAAATAACTTGGCAAACATTTTTCGTCCAAATTCAAAAGTGTGAAAAACGTCTGTTCCTAAATACCTTCTCTCAGAGCACTTCTGAAATAATTAAAAAACAATTGTAATGGTATCCCCATCAAAGCAATTGCAAAGTTGCTCCTTCCTTAGTTTAAACCAGTTTTGAAATCTGGCAACAATAGTTCAGAAATAGCTGTGAAAAAATACAGTTGTTTAAGGAAATGATGGACAATCTAAAAATATTTTGATGCTTTGGGAATTGCACCTTATCTTTGTATGTAAACAACTCATTCGTTGGGGATTGTTTTATTGAAAGAGTTTCTTCATGACAGATTCTCCTCTTGCCTTTGACCCTTCACAGTTATATTTTCCTGGCATAAATGTGGTGATTTAAGCCTTTCTTACAACAAGAGGGTGAAGACTTGCCTGTGAAGTTGCTTTTCAGACTTTGAAGGCCTTGATAAAAAATAAGCTTATTGTGGAGCTGCTTCTAAAGACCTGTACTGAATGCCCTAATTTATTACCACAGCTCTTGTACACAAATATGTGAAGCTCATAACTAAAGACAGATGAGTCTTTTGAAGTGTGCTTTAATGTAGATTTTACTGTGAACACGTAGCAGTGTAAATGACCTTCATGTGCTGGGGTGACATGCTGGTTATCCACATATTGAACAGTCATTAAATTATTCCTGACAAATACAGATGACTCTACAGTCACTGGACTTCACAGCCAGCTTTCTGAGAGGTGCCCAAGTCCAGTGTTGCAGAGTTGCAGCTTGTTATGCTTTGCTCACGTTTTTAGAATGAGCCTGTTAAGTTCTTAATAGTTAAGGGATTTATTTTCCCTTTGAAGTTTCTATTAGCACTTAGGGAAGAGGGGAGGCAATAAACAAAGATCTAAAACCTGTGAGCAACCTACACCTCAGAAATTGCTTCAGCTCCTAAACTCCAGCGTCAGCTTTTGTGTCCTGTTTGTTTTCCCCTCTTTTGGAAGCAAGGCTGTGTGTACAAATAAATACCTGTAATTACTTGTGATTATCTACACGGTGGTTTTGTCATCACACAAGCCGGGCATAACAACCCATTTTCTGCTGATAATGGCTGGGTGAACCTGAGTGGTGGTTGGCAACCCAGCTGACTCGTAGGGCTTCGATTTGCGTGGGATGACTTCATGTGCTGGTGTGCCCCAAGCTGGCTGTGGTGACTGGCTGTAAACCCCACCAGCCCATGTCAAACCCAGAGTGGAAACCTGTTGGCTTCATCATTTTGGGTTGGCAGTTAAGCCATTATGGGTTGCCCTGTCGAGGGTGTCCTGGTGGAGCATTTACTTTCTGAAGAAGGATGGCTAAAAATGAGGTTGGGCTGACAGGAGGCTCTTTAATTGATCTCTTTTCCAAGTAACTATGGAAACAACAGAAAATACCTATGAGTAGAAGTCCAGTGTTTGTTGTTTTTTCTTTTAAATAACAAATGTCAGAGAAGGTTGATGGCAAAGCAAGTGGCAACTGGGATTTTAGAATTTAATTTGTTCATCAAGCAGTGTTAAGGTAAAGGCAGGGGAGGGAAATTACCTCCAAAACAGTGAAGACTAACCACAATTTATCTGCTTATCTAAGTAACTTAAGTAACGAAATTGCTTTAAACAGCCTAATTTACTTAAATCTTTTTTAAAGTAGGCAAGTATTGTCTGCAAGTTGCAGAGGTGCCTCTTTCCTTGGTGGTTGTTTGAGGGAGCACAGTGTGAGCACAGCAGAGTTTCTGTGGGACTGGCCAATGCTGTTGTGTGTTTTGAACCTCCCATCAAAGGCCAGTTGGGCAAGAGGGCAGTAAAACAGGAATTCTGTACACGGCATTCCTGGGATTTTTGTGAAACACCCTAAATGTTTCTGTAACACTTGGGTAATTGGGGAAGGGCTGTTACTCCAAATCTGTTTGGCCTCTTGTGTAACCTCACAACAGTAAAGTCTCCCAGTGTGGTATCAGATGGGAAAAGATGGATGGGTCCTCTGTTTTTAGGTCAGATGTTTGTCTCCTACTTCAGTCTTTCCTTCAGAGAAGAAACCTCACTGAGATTTTTCCTGTGCTGCCTTCAGAGCTGTTGGGTGTCAGACTGTCCCTTCTGGGAAAGCTTAATTTAAAAATCTGCTGCCTGTAGGTAACTGAGCAGAAGAAAATTCCTGAGGAGCATGCTATGGGAAGCAGGCACTCTCCAGGAACACAGAAAGGGCAGGGGCAGGTCACTGTCTTTATACACCTTAGAATTATTCATGTGAAGCTACATGTGTGAGCAAAATCTGTGGTCTGTTCTGATCCCTCAGAGATTGTGGTGCTGAGCACAGACAGCCATGAGATTTTTGAGTGGGCAAACTCACTACCTGTCCTTGCAGTGCACCTTTCAGCAAGGTTGAAGACTTACAGGAGATGGTGTAATATTTTTTTTTGTCAGTGCAGCACAGGATTAGTCTCTCCTCAGCTGCTGCAGGCTGGCATAACTCCCATTAAATCTGTGGAACGGTGCCGATCTGCTTATCTGATGACCTGATCTGCTCCCTCAGTGGAGTGCAGAGCAGCACAAAATCTTTAAAACACCCATCCTAAGATAAAAGCTGTTAGTGAAACTTCTGTTTTGTGGCTAGTAGTCTTCCTAACTCTCAGAACAGCATGTGACCTTTTTAACTGTTTAATTCTAGTTTTCCTTTAATGCATAATATGGAAATTTAAGTAGTTCTTTGCATGATCTCCTGTTAAATTCTGTTGCTGCCAACAGAAACCGTGTCCCCCTCTGACAAAGTTAATGTTTGATAGCTTCGGTGGTTTAGATACACCAAATTTAATTCTGCCTTAGCTTCTTCTGAGTTTTGAGAAGCCTGATGGTTTGTTTCCTCCTAGGGACAGACAGCAGGGACATGTGCAATACCTGAAACGCTCAGAGATGTCTTGAAGAACCTCTTTAGCTCAGCTTCTCCATCTGTGGTGTTGAGTGTGAGGCCTGCAGATACAAAGGAGGTTCAGGTAAGCCTCACTCCCACCAAAATCCCTTGAGAAGTGTCCCTCTGCTCAGTGTTTTTATTGCATGTTCATGACTCACAAATGAGTGAGTTTAACACCGTTTGGGTGATCAGAAACAACCGGCGGGGATTCTTTGAAACGAGGGCATTACACCCCGTCTCGTCTCTGCGCCCCGACATCAGCGTGACACGGGTCTGTGGCGTCTTCACGTGCACAGCCCCTCTTGTTCTGCTTGCCCTTTTGCAGAATGTACAGAACACAAGCCTTCCCCCTCAGGGCACCAGTCCTCCCAAACCTCCAAGGGCTCACGAGCTCAAGCTGCTGGTGAAGAACATCGCGGTAAACCCGGCCCATCACCGTGCTGCAGGTAACGCGGCCCGCGGGGTGCTGCTTGTGTTCAGGCAGGGTTGGGTTGGTTGTGGGTTTTTTGTTTTGTTTTGGTTTTTTTTATCCTTTTGGGTGAAATAATTTGGAACTTCTGGGTTACAACCTTCTCTCAAAAGAAATTGCTTTGCTCCGAGAAACAGACTTCGTGGAATCGTAGAACGGTTTGGGTTGAAAAGGACTTTAAAGATCATCCAGTTCTAATCCCCTGCCATGGGCAGGGACACCTCCCACTGGGCCAAACCCCACCCAACCTGGCCTGGAACACTTCCAGGAGCAGGGCATCCACAGCTTCCCTGTGCCAGTTCTGGCTTAGTCCTGCTTGTGCACGTTATGGTTTGTGCTGTTGGCAGTGACATTGGTTTGATTCAGTGGTATCTTATTTTTACAGCTGCTTTTCTTTACTTCTGAGCAACTTGCTGGTTTATCTGAAACTCTCCTCCTCTGTGTAAACTCCTCAAAGGTGATCTTTTGTTGTCAGGATTTCTCCCCCTAAGGAAGTACCTCTGGGGGTAGGAGTGGCAGTGCCTCTTGCAGGTGGAGACTGAAGCCAGAAAGGAGGTCACTGCCTAGTTGAAGTCACTGTGTTGGTTTTGGAAGGAAGCACCAAGCCTGCCTTACAAGTGTTCAGACTTCTCCAAGTGCAGTCAGGCCTCTGTTGCTGATTGAGGCACGAGCAGGAACATTTCAGATTTTGTCAGCAGAAATACAAATTTGAGGCTCTGTTATTCACAGTCACTAAACAGTTCTGTAACAGTCTTTTTAATGGAAGCTTGTGGCTGCTAAATTAAGCAGGGCACAAGTTTTGGATAAATACATCCTACTTGCTGTACTCCTTTTTTCAGTTAGGTGTAATGGCTTTCTGCCCTAGACTCTTGCATAATGCTGCTTTGCTCATCCTGGTTGGAAGCGATTCCCCTAAAAATTTCTGCAGGCTGTTTTTTTTCTTTTAAAAAGAAATTATTTTTGAAGCAATTCTGGAACTCTGTGCTGTGAAATGTCCTCTATAAATAAAACTGTGCTGGAAACTGCAACCTGGTCTTATGGCAAGTGTCCCTGCCAGTGGCAGGGGGGTTGGAACAAGATGATCTTTAAGATCCCTTCCAACCCAAACTGTTCTATGATCCTATGATTTGTTATTACTGTGCAATTTTGTAGTGCAAATTAAGCTTTCCAAAAGAGCAGATCATTTTGACTGCATTTAAAAGTCATGAGATGAGATACCTTTATGTGCCTGCAGTTCATAGAACAGAAGATTGACCTTATGAGAAACCTCTCTGCACCTTCCCTGAAAATGAGAGGAAGAGTGGACAATTACTGTGCTCTATTCTGGGAACACAGATGCTGGGAGGCAAAATCCCCATTTGCTATTGTCAAAGGAGATGGAGGGAATTTTGCTGGTTCCCTAGCAACTCTGGGAGTGCAAACATTTGGAACCTAGTATGAGAAACAAAACTTCACAGCGTGGTTTAACTGGCACACTTGAAATCCAGTGGAAATACTGCACAGCTGGAAAGGTGCTGTCTGCTGGACATAGCTTGCTGCCTTTTAATTATTGTACCCTTCCCTTTTCCTGGCCTTATCTTGCCATAATTAATTATCCTGTTGGAACTCTGAGACCCCCATAAGAGTGTGCAGTATTTCAGGCCAACCTGCATGGAGGGTTGAAGGGGGGCAGTTTTTCTGTCTTGACCATTTATCATCCACGATAATTATCATAAACCATGGATGATTTGTCATAAACCATGAATGCTAACATGGTTTATAGGAGCTTGTGGCTCTCCTGTTGATGTGTTAGTTCAACTGGTGGATAACCAGTAGCAGAGCTGCTCTCTGCTTATGGGCTGTGCCCATTTTTATCTCCTTGGTTTGTGTATGATAAACAAAGATTACCCTACATTTTGGACTGCATAGTCCGCAGGGAATCATCCAGGTCAAAAGTGATTTCTGCCGTTAAGGAAGAAGTTGTTGGTTGTTCACAGCAGGGTGTGCAGGGCAGAAATGCTGCAGTCCCCTGTTGGGTACGGTCAGTCAGGGGCTGGGGTTGTAGTTTCAGGCAGGTGTTTCTGCCCTGGGCTGCTGAGCACAGGACAGGCTGCAGGGACATATGGCTGGGCAAGCAGAAACCACCCCAGGTTCATTAACTCAGGCTCAGCTCACTGGGAAAGCAGCTCAACTACTTACTCCAGGGTCAGCCTGGATCCCAAATAAGCTGTGTGTACACGGTGCTTTGTCTCCTCTAATAACCTTGCCAGGCCCAAGCTGCCTCTGTGCCTGAGATAGGGATGATCCGCATCCCTGAGTCATCAGCAGAGGATAACTGAGAGCTGATGATAGTAAATATAAACCAGTAAATATCCTGGAGAACTTGGAGGCAGCATCTTTTGTTTGCTTTGCACACACTCAGTACTGAGCATTTTTTTGTCACTTTACTTGATATTTTGGAACTCTGGGTCTGAAATTTTTTTCCCGAGGCTGTGAAAGCCTTACAAAATAAATTGTTTTAAGAGGAACACATTTTGCAAACTGTTTTCTCCTTGGAGCAGCAACATAACTACTCTAATATACCAATTTGCCACACTATCAAATTCCAAGATCAAGGCAGAGATAAGTCTGCAGCAATACTTTAAAATGCCACGAACTTGTTAAAAACCACAGTCCACAGAGCCATTGTGAATTAGCACTGCTGTCATCAGTCACTTGCCAGCAGAAAAAGCTTGTTTCCTTGTCCAAATAAACCGCTGTGACTGTGGTCAGTAGGGACTTTGAAAACTTCTGGGTTTCTTAAAGCAGCAGGAAGCAACTTTGCTCCCTCCCTGCCTCACACCCACACCGCCACCTCCTCACTGTGCTGTCTCCCCATCCTTTTTGACCTCTCTGTGCCTTCCCTTTCTTGCTGTTTGCCAGAATTTAAATTGGGTTGTCGTGTTTCACGCTGTGTGGAGCGGTGCACAAGACACTGGTGATGCAATGTTGACCTTTGCCATTAATGTTGTCGCTGTTTAGATACAAACCAAGGGAGGGAATTTACTCTGTGGGAGGGTGAGAAGGTGTTTGCAACGGTCTGTTCTGAAGTGCAGGATGCAGTGAAAGGGGTTCTTTGCTTACTTTTGGGCAAGTGTCCTCTTGCTGATGGAGTATTAATGAGTGGGTATTGTTTTTCTTGCCCTCGCAGGCAGCACAGACCTTGTGTGTATAGCTCAGCTGAATGACCCTATGCAGAAGTTTTCCAGCTCTGTAGCCAAAAATGCTGCACATCCCTTTTGGAAGGAAGAGTTTATCTTGTAAGTAACTTACCTACTGAGAATACTTTTGCACTAGAGCATCTTTTTTTACTTGAACTCTATGAGGGAAGAGTGGCATTTTGAAATGGATCCAGTTGGGTGGCCTCAGAGAAATCTGGAGCTGGTGGGGACTTCAGGATATCTAATTACTCTCTGCATGGACATGAGATCAAGTAGGTCTCTAGATCATCCGTGGTAGATATCAGATTCTAGTAAATGACAGCAGTAACAGGCATAATAAATCACACTGTGCTTTCATACAGTGCCAAAACAAAGTGTTAGCAAGGTTTTGAAGTCACTTTACCATGAAAACTGCATTTGAGGGAGTGTAATGTCTCTCCATTCCCTCCCCTGAGTGGGCAGAGCAAACGTGCAGAAACAATTGACCATCTCAAAGAATGGTGGCCGTGACTGAAAAAGGAGCGTAAAACTTAACTGGCTTTTTTTATTCCCGTAGAACAGAAATGGGACTTTTGGGCAGCCTACGCGGTGTTCTGTGATTCACACAGCTGCTGTAAACAAGGTCAAAAGGGAGCAGTTCTAAAGCTATTTTCACTTTCAAACAGCAGAGCAAAAATACCTGGTTGCTTCTGTATGTGTGAGTTTAGGAAGGGGGAATCACTGATGGCAGGGTAGGTCAGAGGATGTTCCTTTAGCGGCTTTAAGCACATGCACAGCCAGGCAGGAGCAGCTTTCCAAGGGAATTGTGTGCAGGTGCTGCCATGCAACATACTGCAGGCACTGCTTTCTCATATTTTCTACCACATTATTAAGGTGAGAGGCCCTTCACGTGCAGTGGAGTCTTCTCTGGTTCTTTCTGTTTCTTCCCTCTTCCATCTCAGTTCCACTCCTCTTTACATATATATAAAAAATACATATTTTTTTATATGAGAGTAACGCTGCATGGTTCTGTGTGACATTTTTCTTCACTGTCCAGTCACAGCCTGGCATCCACTGGATCTGTTCCTTCTCCTGCAAAGCAGAGATGTAGTTACAAGGAACTGAACCGGTGCCTGCCTGTGCTCTCTTCCTCGAGGAGTGATGTGCTTCCCCTCACCTTTGATCAGTCATCACAGGTTGTACAGGGCTTGGAGAACATGTGCAGGGGATGAAGATGATCAGAAGTCTAACTACAGTTAGCAAAGAAACACTGATATTGTAGAAAAACACTGGAAGGCCTCCGCCTTTCATGTGGCCTGATGCACCTGGTTCCTGCTGTTCAGTGGAAAACCAGCCAGGAAGCTTTATCCCTTCAAGCAACAATTTGTAAGGCCTGATTTTAGTTATGAGCAGCTTTTGAGGAAAGCCACAGATCAGACAGCCTTCTTCTGTGGCACTGTGCTGTGTTGCCACTGAGACCTAAGGATTTAACATGATGTGATTTCTCCTCCATGGTGAGAAGGGGAGAATTGCCCTTCTGTAGCAGCTTTCTGTCCTGGAGTATCACAGAGTGCCTCAGCCATCAGTGGGTCTGTGAATCACTTCAGCCATCTGTTGGTGGAACAGCACCCGTGCTCGATGCTGCAGGGCAGGCAGGTTCCCAGCAGTTTTGGACAGGAAACTTGTAAGAATAATACCCTTTCCAACTGAAAGTGCAGGCAGAGGGCAGGCAGGATGTGATTAACTTGACTGGAATTTGGCCTTGACACCAGGGATAATGCTGGGGTTTCCACACTGCTTTTCAGAAGTGGATGAGGTAAGCCTGGGGGACTTTTACAGATGAGTGATTAGGATTTTGGCAGGATTTTTTCTGAACTTCATTCAAGTTCATGGGCACACACCTCTGCCCTTTTCTTTCTTCACAGCCAAAAATATCCACCACTCTTGAGGGCCAGTGTATTGAACACCATGTCAGGCTCTGCTTTAGCTTTGTGGCAAAAGCACCAATAGTACCACCAAAGTGCTTCTTTCAAGTTTTGGAGGTGCAGGAGAGGGTGGTAGTGGCAGGGAAGAGCTTAAAATGTGCTGCATAGATGGTGTCCCACAGCATCTAATGGAGGTCGGATGTTTGCAACCAAAAAAGACATAGCAAAATAAAATTCATATATGCTCTTGGGGTTTTTGGCAGAACACCCGCTGAGAAGGTTATAAAACAAAGTTTTACTGGAGGGTTCCTCAGTAGGTACCCAGTTTCCTTCATTGTCTCAGTTAGAGGAAAGGTTTTGTATTTGTTATGTGGTCCATCTTGTGAAGTATCACATATGCCTATAATTCTGTGAATAGTTCACACTAGTTCTGTCACACAGAAATCAATTTTTGCAACGTCCTTGAGTATTTTGGAAAAGTGATACTGACTCTTCTCACTTAAAACTATAGTTACTTCTATTTTCTTGCATCTATCCTGTTTTTGCAGGACACTTTCCTGCTTTGACAAGGGGACACCACAGCTTTGAATGTGTTTTTGAAAGAAGCTGTTCCAGCATCTTGACTTACAAATTTGATCCTTCAGGGGGAAAGAAAAAAGCTTCTTAGTGCTGTGGTGTAATTGTCAGACCAGGGACCAACATCAGCCTGGAGGGCAGTGTTTGTTAGCTGCTGGGGAGAAGAAGAGCCTCTGAAATTTCAGGAAGTTGGACCTGTGCCACAGTGGTGGAGGGGAACCATGGCTTTCTGACTGTGATCCCTTTAGGGACGCTTACCTGTGTGCCCAGCAGCCTGGCAGTGCCACCTCCCTCGTCAGCAAGGTGCACTGCTTGGCTTGGAGAGGGCTGAGAAAAGGTGGGGAACAGGGAAAAAAACTAAGTAGGGAGGAAAATCTGCTTTTCTGCAAAGACCTAACGTGGTTTTGTTTACTTCACAGTGAACTAAGTGCCAAATCAAAAGCATTGCAACTGCAAATAGTAGAAGATGGAAAGACGGATAGTAAGTATTAAGACTGAATTGCTTGGCATGATCAGCTTGTGAGCTTTGCTGGCTGTTGACAAGTCCTCTTTTAGTTCTGGGTGGCCAAACAAGAAACTCTAAGATCCATCAGTAATCGTGGATGGAAGAGGGAATGCACTGATCAGGTCCCTCTGTCCTGCTCTGGGTTAAGGTTACAGAGAATCTTTGAGTTTCTTTCTAAATTTTCAACACACTGAGTCTTCCCTGTACTGATATCCTGTATTTTTCAGCCTTCTAAACTTCTAACAGAATCAACTGTGAGCCTTTTCGGTTTCAAGTTAAGCTTTTGAGGCCTTTCTGTGGCTGAAGGGGAATCTTGAGTGTTAATCCTAAATCCTTCCTTTTCAAGCCCCAGAGGCTGCCTAACATTATCAGGTATAAATCACACTCATTCTGATTATATTGGATTAAATGTAAAATGGGGCTGAAGCCTTTTTGCTACTTGATTCTGTTGTTGCAGAATTATTTTTAATAATCTATTTTAATAATCTAGATATACAGACTATATATCTTGCATAAGATCTGCAATTATTGGAGGGATTGGCAAGTTAAATGTAGGCACAAGCTTGAAAAAGTCTCTCTGATATGGATGCAATTTTTTATTTTTAACAAAAGTGTGGAATCTATATAGAGTCAACAATTGTATATTGTTTCTTGCACAAAGTTTAGTCTTGCCTGTACCTAAGAGTGGGTCTTGCAAACACCACCAGTGATGTTCCACATCCTACTGAGGGTGTGACTATCAGCCTGTTTTCCTGAAGAAAAAGGTCCCAGTGGATTGCACTGACATTTGTCTTCCTGCCCTTCTCCCCCCCACAAACCAGCTTAGCTGTTGTTCTTCCCAAAATTTAAATAGAGGACTCAAAGTAGAATCACATTAATGGGCAGGGATCTGAGTAATGTGAATATAATGTAGTTCTCTACTTGTCTTTGAATTTCACAGAAAAACTAGGATTTCATCTCTGAAATCATGCAACACTTTTACTAATAGTTTGCTCCAATCTAGTGGAGCTGGAAAAAGTCAGGAGAGGAACGAGAGAACTGCTGATCTGGCACTGAAGTTCAAATTGAGAAAGACAATGATGCACCAGTTTACCAGGAATCCAGAGTGTTCTCTGAAATGAAAGACGCAGGTAGCTGGTCATGGGGATGGTTCAAGGACCTAATAGGAATATTTCTAGTTGTTTTCTTATTCCCTAAACATTCTGCATGTACAGGGAAGAATAATGGCCAGAAATAGCAGTAAATATTAGTAAATAGTAGTATTTCATGTCTCCATTCTCTCCTGTTGCTCAGTGTTAGGCCAGGCTGAGGAATAGTCATAAAAGGGGAAGAAAACTGTGAAAAGTGCCAGGTTTCTGCCCTGTGGTGTAGAACCAGTTTCTGCAATCAACTGCCTGTGCAATTCCTCCCCTTTTCCCATCTTCTCCCCCTTAGGCACACTGACAGCTTAGGTGTGCACTGATTTTGTTGATTTTATTTGTTCCAGGTCCTTTATCCGGGAAGGTGACTGTACCTCTGGACTTGTTCAGGAAACAACCCTCTGGCCAGCAAAGCTTTGCCCTGAGCAGTGAGGCCAGTGAGGGCAGTTCAGAGCTGGGGCCTGGGCTGGGATCCATCAGTGCAGAGGTACTGCTGGGTTTGGATGGGTTTGGGGTGGATCTTTTGCCTCTGGAAGTACTTAGAAGTGGTTATCTTGTGCTTGTGGCTGAGTCAGAGTTAGCACACTCTGATTTTACAGTGTTTGTGTCTTACCAAAAGAATGAGCTCTTGAGCACCAGCAAAAACATTAAAGAAGCACTAGGCAGAAATACTGTCCTTCTTGCTTGGCTGTGCTTCTAAGGTGACACTTTTTTCTTGGTCTCCTTAGTTCTCTTTTATAGAACCCAGTGAACTGAAGACAAGGCAGGTCTCTTCCCCAGTGCTGGCCACCAAGATAGAAAAGGATCGCACTGTGATGCCCTGTGGGACTGTGGTCACTACTGTCACTGCTGTGAGAACCAAACCTCGCCTGGAAGGGAGGGCATCTCCCCTGAGCACAGGTGAGGGGGTCCAGTTCTTCCTGTGCTCACCCACAGGGTTATCCACGGGCACTGGGAGAAGTGTTGTGGGGTGGGGTGTAAGGAGAGAGTTCTCTGATGTGTTGGAGTGGGGTTGCTGTTTGTGTCCTCTGGAATCAGGTTTTTAGTTTTCACAGAACCTTGTTCTTACAAGAGGAACAGTTAATGCTTCTTTTAGTGCACACTGTAAAGCTTCACAGTAGTGTGATAATGCAGAAGACCTGGATTTTGGAGGATGGTTTCTCACATGGCAAATGTATCAGACTCTCAGGGTGTTTGCTGAGGACAGACCATCCTGTGCCTTCTAACCTTGACTGTATTATCATCTCTAATGGAGGTTGGTGTGTGACAAAGTCCTTTTCAGCATGTCTTTTAGGAGCAGATTTTCCAATTCTTCTTGGGATAGATATGAAAGTAAAACCTGTGAACAGTCTTGATATGAAGTCTCACAAAGATGAGCATCACGTTGTTAAAGCAGATCTTTTACTTAAGTGGGTGTTGTCTAGCATATTGCAGTAGAAGCTTTAAAAACAATAAATTCCTACACTTCACAGGTCTTTTTGGGGTCAGGTTACCACAGAACATGTGCTGAGAATTTGTATTAAACAGCTCTCTCAAACGCTTTGTGTTTTGAACAGACTCAACAGGTATAATAAATTCTTATTAATGTCGTAAAAAATGTCTCAAATGGTTCAAATAACCAAAAAAACTTGGTCCTCAGATTCTCCTGTGAAAACTCCAGTTAAAGTAAAGGTGACTGAAAAGGATTTCTCCGTTGAAGCTCTCCATTCTCATGGTGCTCCAGTCAGCAAAACTTTGTCATCTTCAGACACAGGTAATTGAAATATTCAAAGCTGCTAATGAGGACATGTCTCTCTCTGCTGCACATGGGGATTAATGTGATCCTGTTAAAATAACAGCCAACCCATATGGCTGCTGCCTGTCAACAGCACTGAGATGTTTATGTTACAAAGCACTGTGGTTAAGGGACAGGGCAGTCTTGCAGTAAAAGTCTGTTTTTAATTGGCAATTTAAATTACTGGGTTTGAACAAATAACAATGAGCTGTGGTTTGGAGAGGGGAGGTGACTGCAGAAAAGCCAGGCTGTGTTTTCTCTTACTTTTTAGTGAAAAGATTCCTCCTTTCATAAAGGCACGGGGGATGCTGCACAAAAGCAAAGCCCTGTGACAAGAACCTCTAAGGCCATTTTGAAGTCCCCTCTGAAGAGAAGACAGAGGTTGGACTGACGTAAGGAAGACTGAATTCTCTTCCTAGCCCTGCTCCTGGGCTTTTTGGGGGGCTAATGTAAATACCCAACCTTGCTGTGTCTGTTTGTCCACCTTCCTAAGTCACCTGGCATGCAGGTGCCTGCACAGTGGCATTGATAATAACTTTAACTATAAATTCACTTTGAATTGTATTAAACCTGATTTTGACTCTGGGTTGTTGTACCTTCGAAAGCTGCAGCTCTGAATCTTCAGCGTCTTTTTCAGTCCTGTGTGTGGTCACCACTGAGCCTTTCAGTGGCTCTGTGGGCAACAGGAGCGAAAGGTGTGACCCAGTCTGGCTGCCAGCGGCACATAACGTGGAGTTGAGATTGCTTTGTGAGGATTTGAGTGGAGATTGGGCAATCTGGAGGTGATCTAGACTGCTCCTGGCGGAGTCAGAAGGTTTGCTGAGAGTCAGATATGTGGCCAACAAATAATGGGGAAGAGAATGAAGCACTGGCCATGAATAGCTGTGACAGCACTTGAATCTTTTCCCATTCTAGGCCAACAAGTGCTGTGATACCATGAAGCAGCATGGTATTACTGCATCGATTTGGGAAATGTTGAGGTAGTGCAAGACCTCTGAGTTGACTCCCTTAAGTGTTTATGATATTAAAGATACAAAACACTTACAGGAAAACTCATCTGAAGGCAGCTTAGACCCTGTTGGTACAGACAGTGTTTTTAATGGGAGTGCAGGGGAATTTCTGTGAAATGTTTATACAGTACAGCAGGAAGAATTACTCATTAGAAAGGAAAGGTTAAGCCAAATGAAAGAAATACAAAGAAGCTCTTGGTATGGTGGTAACTTGGGTAACAGTTATTATAAACACTGTGGCAAAACTGCAACGAGCACTCTGGAAAAGGTGCTGTGTCTGTGCCATAGTTCTAAGTGATGACAGCAGTGAGAATTAACAAGTGCCTGGATGGTCTCAGCTCTTCCTGGGGGCTTTGCAGAGGCTGGGGAGATGGAATAGTAGAAGTTTATGATGAATGTGCAGACATGCACATCCCTTGGGCACTCTTAAATTCCAGGCCTCATTTTTTTATTGCATTAATGTCACAGTAACAAAAGACACTGCTCAATTTAATTAACACTGGTGCTATTTGTTTTGGTTTTGGTTTTGTTTTCTGTTAAAACTCTTAGCAGAAAAGCTCACCTCAGACAATTAAATGTGGGGATTTTTGTCTTGCTGACTTCCTTAGCCTGGTTTGTTCCTAAGCTTGATGAATTTTGATCAGTGTGCATTTGCTGTGCCCAAAGTACTCTGCATTACTAGATGCCAGTGTTGGCCGTGCTTAAAAATAAATGTGTTTGTCACTAAAGAGCTTTTTATAAAGAAGGTTTTATATTCCTGTGCAATGTTTGGAGGGGAAAAAGGGGGAGGAGGGAGTGCACTTTATAGGCTTTGGAGGCAGCTGATGAAGAGCAGGGAGACTGGCTCCAATTTGGAAATGCTGAGCAAGGATGTCTGGAAGAAGAGCAAGATAGCAACCTGAGGAAGCAGTATCATGTGCCAGCTTTGCACCGTGTCAGAACTGTGGTTCTTCATGACTGTGATACCTGATGCTCTCCCCACTTGTCATCACAGTGTAGCAGTACATTGAAATAATGTGATGTGTTGTCTAGGCTTCCAGAAAAACTCCTTTGTGCTCAGGGAAGGGGTTTGTAAGTGCAGCTCCAGCACCTTTTCTCCAAAGGAAGAGTTGCAGGAGGGAAAGACAAGACCCAGTGACCGTGTGGTGAACGGGAGGATGTTTTGGTGTGCCTGGTGTTTATACCCATTTCTGCCAATTTCTGTGAATTTTAAGTCAAGAACAAACTCCGCCTCTCTTTGCCTTGTTTTTTTTTTTTTTCCTGTTTTTCCTTTCTTCCCTCTGAAATAATCCTTTCTTTCCAGAGCTGCTGGTACTGAATGGCACTGATCCTGTGGCAGAAGCAGCCATTCGGCAGCTGAGCGAGTCTGCAAAGCAGAAGCTGAAGTCTCCCAGAAAGAAAAGCACCATTATCATATCAGGGGTGTCCAAGGTAGAGCAGAAAACAACACTTACATTTTTATGTTAGAAAAAGCCTTTGCTCCACTGACTGTGGCGTTAACGTGGGCTCTGCTGTCTCTGCAGAATCCAGGTCTGCGTGCCAGGCTGTTTCTGTAACTGTTTCAAGTTAAGCCAAATCAGGGTTTTGATTGTTAGTTTTGACAGCCTGACTAAGATGCAAGGTGTACTTGGATGGGAGTGGGATGATTAGGGATTTGGGAAAACAAATATGGGTGAGAACAGAAGATAATCAGTCCTTCTCTGTGTTTCACCCACGTAGGGAAGATGCACAGAAAAAGAAAAATGAGAGATTTCTCTATTTTTTTTTTTGTTCAAAGCTGTTAAAACAAAACCCTCTGGAAAACCTCCTGGGCTCTGTTCCAGAGGGAGGGCAAACAGAAGACTGGTTTTCACATGATATATAGCATTCCTCCAGACTTTCTTCATCCACAGCCTCAGTGTCCTATCTGATGCCTGGTGCCTGCCTGTAGTCCTTTCTCTGCAGGTTGCTCCATGGATTTGTGCTGTCAAGCATTGCTGTTGGGCACAGGACCCCTAAAGGGCTCTGAGTGAAAGCCAAATCACTGGGCATGGATCCCCTCATCATCACTGTGCTGTGATGAGGGGGAAAATGGGTATCAGCAGCCACAGTGCCAGATGTATCTACCTGGGAAATGATGGCACTGGCACTGCCTGGATTTGGGTTTAGCTGATACAGCTGACAAATCCTTCTGTAAGATGAAATGCTTTGATATTTCTTTTCTTAGAATGACCAAAATGTGTGTGCTGATACTTCATTAGAGCAGCCCATGCAGGAAAGAGTCTTATTGTTTGTAGTGGGTCCAGGGATAGGTGGGAGGCACGCACTTTATTTATTTTTTTCATTTATTTGGCCTTAATAACATGAATAAAACTTGGCTACGTGCTTCTTTCCTTTAGTAAAGCTAAGGAAGCTTAAAGGGTCTTTCTGATAGTCCTGAGCAATACAGGTGCAAAGAGGAGAAAATAACTTTTGCAGGGAGGCTTGTTTTCCTCCAGCAGGATGGCTCGTGTCAGTGTTGTCTCTTATTTCCACTGGGCAGACCTCTTTATCTCAGGACAGTGAAGCTTCACTCATGATGGACTATGCTGCAGCCATGGACAGCTCCTGTCCCAAAGAAGCAGATCCACCCCCTGTGGAGGAAGCTGTTGCAAAACCCACCCCTGGTGAAAAGCTGCCGTTGGGTCCCTCAGAAACAGCACCTGACACTGCCCCACAGCAGAGCACCCACAAGGCCTGGGGCTTGGAGAACGGCAGCCAGCAGTGGGACACCAGCACCCTCTTAGACCAGACCTCTGAATCCATATCTGGGAGCTCGCTGAGCGTTTCAGAAAGCGGGAGCGTGAAAAAATCCAAAGGTACGTGATCCTTACCTTCCACCTCGGTGACTGGCTGCTTTCTCCGCGGAATTGGCAGAGTCAGGCAGTGCTGTAGTAGCTCATCCTTTCTTGCTGATTTTTCTCTTTTTTTTTTGTCCTTACCCTCCTTGTGATTGTGGTGTTGGTTGAAGCTGTCTCACCAGCAGCACAGAGGGTGCAGTCCACTGCTCTCTGAGCCAGCTCAGGCTCTCTTACACTGCCCTCAGCCAGGAAACAGAAGGGCAGCCCCGTTACTAACATGAAAATGGCAGGGCTCTCAGTTGCTTTTTATACATTCCTTCTCCTCCTTCACGGCCCTGAGCTCAGGACTCCCCTGCCCTAGAGTGTGTGTTCAGGAAGCAGCTGAAGCAGAAACTGCCTTGTGAAACAGTTTCTCCCTTTTCTGCTGATTCCATTAATATGTGGTTTGCTAAAGAAAATGGAATGAAAGGTAATTTAGTAAGTGAATAAAGCATCAGATCATTTTGCTTAGGTAGTTACACACCTGAATGGCTGCAGTTTGAAAGTGTCTTAGGATTCTTTGTGTTTCCTTGATAAATCCATTAACCTCTGAGCACTGGTTTGTGGCCATGTGGTATCAGGGCTATTAGGGTGTCTGACACAAGGGCCAGTGCAGAGCACTGTGCCCTGAACAGGCACACACCAGTCTCATGGGCTGCACCTTGAAACTGAAAAAAAATCCTGTGTTTTTCACCCGCATCCACCCCCTTTTATTATTATTTTCTATTCTTTCCTTGCCCAGAGGTCCTTACTACAAAACCTCGCTATTTCACTTGATTATCACAAACCCATCTCCCCCCGCTCAACGCAGGGCAGACACTGGAGCCCTTTGTCAGGGCCCTCCCTTGGAGCCTCGAGTTTCTCTGGCCTTCCCACAGCTGTATTGCTCCACATGAGAGATCAGGGTGGCACAGCAACAATCCCTGTCACATAAATGGTCCGGCACTGGGAAGTCTTGGGTGTGTTTGGGGTGGGAGTAGGGGGCTAGTTGTGAAGGGATTTGTCTCATTTTGGAGCCTGGAAGAGTTTAGGAAGCTGTGGGAGAGATTGCAAAACCTCTGGACTCTTCTTTAACATGTTATTCTGAAATAAGCAACTGCAAGTTTGTATGTGAGCTGTTGTCTAGTTCTGTTTTTCCCTGTGGTGTATGTTCCAAGGAGATCAGCCTTCTAAAGATCCTTTTCACACAATGCAGTGTAAGGCTGCTAAAAACTGCAAAGTATTTCTAATTTGAGAGAGTTGTATCATCTTAAAATAATACTTTAGGAAAACTGGCTCACATCCCTTTCTTTATACACAGATGTCTTTGTGGAAGTCTTGAATCTCCGCTTTGTCACAGCTGAGTAGCTTTTATGGAGTAAGATAGGAAAACATTCCCACCCCCCTGCCTTCAGTTAGCTGTGAACAGTTCAAGGTTTCTGTTTGTCAAGTGCCTTTCCTTAAAACAAACAAACAAATAACAAAACCCCCACAAACATATAAAACCCCAAACACAACAACAAAAAACCCAAACAAAACTGAAAGCCAACAAAACTACTTCTGCTTTAAAAAGACTTGTACCCCTATTAATGTCTTAAGGTTAGCACTGGTGTTTTTTTTTACTCTTGCATATTTTTGTTTGGTTTTTTTTTTTTACCTTTCTGACTTCCTCTTTCTTACCCATTCCCTTTTGTAAACTTAAGAGGACTGCTATGCCAGCCAGAATTAATTACCCACACAGTAAGTTGGTTTTGTGTATTTTTTTCCCCTAAGAAATTGTAGCTTTACAATGGGACGCTCATTGTAAAAACTGAAGCAAAACATAGTTTGGCACCTGTTTTCTTCTTCCCCCGTCCACTTCTTTCCTCCTTCCAAAATTACCTTCCTGTGCTCAAGTGTCTCAGCAGATTAGTCTGCTGTAGCAAGTTGTTCTCCTGGTGGTCGTGCTGTTCAGGTGGGTCACACAGAAATCTCAGCAAGGAAGGCCTGGAGGGGTGCTCTGCATTCCTAATCTCTCTCCATCTTGCCCGTTCCTGTAACATCTGATAATCAGCCAAACTCTCTGCTCATGCAAACCTCGTGTGACCCCATGACTGGATATACACAGGCAAAATACTTATTTTAAAACCTGCTGCTTACAGTTTTTTAGGTAAAGCTTTTCTACCCTAACTTGCAGAGCTACCAGGGCCTCAGCAGGTATCTGCAGAACCACCTGTATAAAAGCTGTTTTGGAAGTTGGGAAGGAATGGAAAGCAATCTCTGTTCATATCCTTGTAGATGTGGAAGGAAATCTTCCTTGATTAACAAAAATGGCATTCAGAAGTGATCATAGCCCCACAGGCATTTTCAGGACACCCTAAACTAGTGCAGAGGAGTCCAGCCAGCTCGTACAGTATGCTCCCTGCTCATCTCCTGGTGTAAGGAGCAGGGCTGGCATATGGATCCTGTTGGACTCGAGAAGTGAGCATGCAAACAGCACGAGCATTGCCAAGCTGGGGATGTGCCCTGCCCTGCCCTGCCTCCCTGGCAGGGCTGCATGTCTCCACAGCAGCTGGAGCCGCTGCCAGGCAGCACACTCCAAACTGGTGCGGACTGATGGGGATTTGTGGCAAGCTTCCAGACAGCCATGACCTCAGCACCTCCAAAAAACACAGGGAGCTTTCACGCTGGGGGGCTGCTGCTTGTGCTGAGCCTCGGGGAAGCGCTGCCCACGACTTCTCAGCTGCAGTGAGTTGTCCCAGGCCACCCATTTTCGCAGCATTCTTGGTTCAGTTCTGATTCCCAGTACGGAAAATCAGTCTGAATCAGTAGAATGGATAGGACTAAATATCTGCTTATGGATAAGCCTTTCTGCCCTGCTCCTGCTGGCACAGCTTCAGCTGCAGCTGCCAGGGCTGCTGGGCAGAACAGCTGCCTGCTCAAACAAGAGCGGCACAGCAGCGAGGCCTCGTGGATCCCCCCCCAGCCTTGGCATATTAAACACGACTGTCAGTGTCCTGGGGTTGAACACTGTTTCTTTTATGCTGCTGACAACAGCTTGAAGTGGTTCTGCCTTGCCAGAAAGATCGATCAGAGGGTGATGGGAGGGCAGTCAAGACTCAAATCCACGAGTTCCAGTTGCTTTCGGCTGATTTCTGCTTCATCCCTGTGAGAAGTGCCTCGGCAGCTGGCAGGCAAAAAACATGCTGGAATATCCTCCCAGGTGCTGAGCCCTTAAAGTAATAAACCCAAGCACATGTTTGCAAGTGCTCTGGTCTGAACAAAGCAGCATTTGGCTGCGTGCAGCAGAGCTGCCATGAAATACCTGTTCTGCAGCTGTCGCTGTGCAAAGTGACACGGGGCCCGTGCCTGGTCCCTGGGGGACAAACACGTAACTCTATCTGTGGCAGAGCACTGCATGAAAGAACTGGTCTGTGTGTTGCTTTTTGTGTCCATCTGCAAGGGGAGGAAAAGCAGAGTCAAGACCGTGCAGCGACAGGAATTAATAGCTGAGCTGAGAAAGAATGAGGAAACCTGATAGTGGTGCCGGGAACAAGGTGTGGAAGCTTTGCCAGGGAGAGATGACTGTCCTCACGTACTGCTCTGACTGCCAGACGCTGCGGTGTTGGCTTGCTACCTGGGTCCTCCTTTGTTCAAATTGGCTCCTGCCACCTGGGCCAACGCCAGCACCCAGTTCTGCACCGAACTTGCCCTTTTAATGTCCCCACACCAGGTTGAGTGTTGCTGGTAGCCTGGAGCAGTGTCCCTGCCAGCTGCAGCCTCGCAGGTCAGGCACATGTGCACACATGGAAAAAAGGAAGGTGGAATTTGGCAGAACAGCTGCAAAAAAACACAATCCAGGCTTGCAAAGAGAGGAGTACTGGTAGCTGGTGCTGGCAACACGAGTCCCTGGTGAGGTGACAGCTGCAGTTGCCTTGGCTGCATGCTGGGTTTGACATGGGATCAAGGGAAGGAATACAGCAAAATACAGCAACTTAATTTGCCGCAGAAGGGATTTGGGCGGATTGCTGAACCTGTTGGAAGCAGATGTAATATTATTTTTAATCTGCTTGAAGTGAGTCGCTATTCCTAACAGGATTTTAAAATAGCAAATGCTTCACGAGTGTTGCTGTGGGTGGTGCTGTCGAATTCGTGTGGAACACCTGCTGCCTGGCTTCTACGAGCCCACTGCACACAGGTTCACTGCCAGGTGCTGTTCTCTTTCACCTCAAATTAAAACACCACCTTCGCGTGGTGCGTCACGGGCTGATCTTTTCCTCCTTTGATCTCTGAAACAACAAAGAGTAGTAACATTACCTCCTCTGTTTCATTCTTTTTATAAAATACTTTCTCCCTTTATTGGCTGGGAGGATTGGCCCTGCCTATTGGGCACGTGAGAACCCAGTGTACAACCCACACCAGTGGCTGTGCATGTGTGTATGAGCACTAACACAGATTTGAGAAGAGCATTTGAAGCTAAGGATGTGTAAGGAAGGAAGCTTCCACAAGATGCGTGGATTGACTTTAGAAACCGAAATCAAAGGTCAGCTTTGTTTAGTCGGGCTGCCATTGAAGCTGAGCTTCGAGAGGGAAAGCAGCCTGTTCTTTCTGAAGTGTCCCTTTTCTCCCTTCCCACAGGTGGGATTCTGAAAAAAAGCGCGAAGCTCTTTTTCCGCCGGCAGCACCACCAGAAGGATCCAGGAATGAGCCAATCCCACAACGACCTCGTGTACCTGCAGCAGCCCCTGTCAGAGGAGACCCGCAAGAAGGGAGGCACCCTGTCCCGGATCCTGAGCAGGAAGCTCCTTTCCAGGAACAAAAGCAAGAGCAAACTGAACGGTGCTCCGGGAGAGCCGTACATATAAGAGCGGACCCTCTCTGCTGGGATACTTGCACATCAGTTGAGCATTTTGTTTACAGAGCAGTGCTAGAGAATACAAATATGGCTGATGGCTTGCATAAAAGGATGTTCACTAATGCAGTGGTCTTTTTTCGTTTGTTTTTCCAAAAGACGCTTTTTCTCTCTGATGATGAAGTTTGCTCCTCCAAGTACGAGCAGTGCTACGTTAATCATGGAGGCTTTGGAGAACCGTGTGGTTCATTGTGGAAGATGAGGGAGGATGGGGAATGGTGCAGGTGGGGACCAAGAAGGCCATTGGTATCCTGGAGTGCATCAGGAGGAGCACTGCCAGCAGATCAAGGAAGGTGATCCTGCCCCTCTGCTCAGCCCTAACGAGGCACATCTGCAGTGCTGTGTCCAGTCTGGGCTCCTCAGGACAGGAGGGACGTGGAGCTCTTGGGGCAGATCCAGAGGAAGATGCAAAGATGCTGCAGGGATGGAGCATCTCTGGGAGCAGGAAAGGCTGAGGGAGCTGGGGCTGTTCAGCCTCCAGAGCACACACTGAGAGGGGACCTCCCCCAGGTCTGTGGGGGCTGCAGGGAGGGGGCAGAGGATGGACCAGGCTCTGCTCGGGGGGGCCCAGCAATGGCACAAGAGGAATGGGCAGGAACTGATGCCCAGCAAGTTCCACCTGCACAGGAGGAAGAACTTCTTTGCTGGGCAGTGACCCAGCACTGAACAGATCACCCAGAGAGGGTGTGGAGTCTCCCTCACTGGGGATATTCCAGACCCCTCTGGACACAATCCTGTGCAACATGCTCTGGGATGACCCCGCTGGAGCAGGGAGGTTGGACCAGATGATCCCACTGTGGTCCCTTCCATCCTGACCCACTCTGTGGGGAGGACCCACGTGTGAGCACCTGGTTTTACATTAACAGGGAGCTCAGAACTGAAACATCGACCCTGGGTTACGTGACTGAACCACTGCAGAGAGCGAAGACACCACTGTGCTCCCTCACTGCAGCCTGCAATAGTAGCAATGCAGGGCTCAACTGATTTTTCTAGTCAGGCTGAAAGGGAAAAAAAAAAAGAGACCCAGATCCAGTTTGTATTGTAATGTGGAAACGGGTATGTTTTCAGAAGCAGAAGGAAAATGCTGATTCAGATATCCTACTGTAATAACTGTAGCCTGCTGTAATAACTGCTCGGTCCATGTAGGTGGAGAGATGCCTTTGATATTAGCCATAAATCAATAAATTATGCAAATATCTGTACTAGCATATTGTTCAATGTTCTGTGCAGAAGTTATGCTTAACAAAACAACCTTTTTTTTTTAAAGTCTACTTGAGTCTACTCGCAAAGAACACATTTACCAAGTCTTATGTGTAGCTTTCCTTCCCTGCGTGAGAAGCTGCATTGCTGATGCAAAAACCTGTCTTAGGGGCTCTAATTCCTTCTCCCAAGTACTTGTTAGACAAGTATATTAACCATCATATCAAATGCAAAGCTAGGAGCCATAAGTGGTAAATAGAGCATAGTTAACCCTACAGTGCTTTTCATTAGCTTATTTTACTCGCCACTCACTGAGATCCTAGAAAACACAGTTGTGAAGAAAGCTTTTGAAAAAATAATAACAATTCCCTTAGCTCACTTTCAGTTTCTAGGTCTGCCAGTGTTGTCATGTGATTGGTGAGTGGTTGGTCAGATGAGTTTTTTTAACTTTTTCTCCTTGTTAAATATTGCAGCCGGCTCCTTTAAATTAAAACGAAAAACTGATGGAAGTAAAATCATAAAGGTTCTTGTTTTGGCTGTCAAGAGTAAAATGACAGTCTTTCATAAGTACCATCTTTTGTGGTTACCTGTGTTTTTCCATCATCTACATTCCTGCTGAGGACAAAGGACCAAGCCTGTTCTCTTCAGCCAAGAAAAACATCCATTCATTCCACCTAAATTACTGAAATGAATGGATGATAGATTGGTGCCTACTTTGCCAATAGTGATTTTCCCCCTGGCCCCTTTCCTTCCCTTAAGCTGTCCCAACTCTTTGGCAGATATTTGGGCTTTCAATTTAAACGATTCATCAAAAATAGAAAGTCACGGAAGAACAGAAACACATTTTAAAACTTCTTGATGGACTCAAGATTCTTTGGTAAAATACTTGTACAGTGAAGATCAAAGTAGAGGGGGTTTGGTTTCTTTTTGACCAGAAAAATATTGGAGGAACTGAGCTGTCAGAATCCTTTAACTGTGTAAAAATACTGTTTATGTGTAACCTCCAGAAATCACTGTGGTAGCACAGCAGACCAGACTATCAAATAGTTGTATGTTTAAGGATGCTGCTTATCATGAAAACACTTGAAGGCATTTTAATGTTCTGTATTTTGAAAATTGGTTACAAATGAATCTTCTAGAGCTGTAATGTGCTTAGAAATCCCAGTTCAGTAATACAGGCTTGTCCAGCTTGAATGTGCTTGAACGCTTTTGTTTATTGTTAATGTAATACAGAGTGGGTTTCTTCATTTCCTTCATACAGTGGTTCATGGTATGAGCAGTAAAACCCCTGATGTCCTGTTCTCTAAACATACATTTTTTTTCCTTGATTTTACTTGGAGCTCTCTGCATGGCAGGGCAGGATGGGGGTCAAGTCCCTGCCACGTTTAACTGCTCAGTCTTGTTTGCTGAAGGAGAAAGCCACAACTGGTCTCTCAGTTGAAAAAATCAAAGTGAAACTGAGCTCCATGGGTAGCAACACCCCTACACTAAAAACAAAGACCTGTGGAACTGGGAATGCAGGAGCAGTAACACTGCTTCAAGTCTTGCTTAAGTTGCTGAACTGGGATTTTCATTCACAGAAGCTTTAGCTGTAGAACGGGGTGGAAATAACACCAAGTAACTTGCAGAATACAGGAATGGGGTTTGCTCCTAGCTTACCCCAAAGAATAGATACACACTGAAGAAGTGATTAATTAATTAATTAATTAATTAAGGCCTTGGTGATCACCTAAATGCTTGTCTTGGTGGTGGGAACCAAGAACATTCTATACTACAAAGTGTGTGAATGTCTGAGCTTGCATGTGTGGAAAGACAATGAATTCTTAAATGAGGAAAGCAAGGCATTTGGGGTAAAAAGGGAATCTTGGGGGTTTTTTACTTGCCTTCACTCCTCAGGAAAATAAACATGGTTTGGTTTGATGAACTGGCTGGTTCTATCTATATCTGGCTGGTGTGTTCCTCACCTCTTCCTACTCCCATGCAAATAACTTATGGCCTGTTGTAAAAAGAAGCTGAGGTACTAAACATGAAGGGACAATTGAGTTGCTCAGTCTTGACAACCCCAAAGGCCCAGAATATTGAATCTCATTCCCCCCTTCTGAGACAATAAGATGGTCATTTAAGATCAGGAGAGATCTGAGGATGTACATTTTTGGGGTACTAATATTTAGGTCAGTGTGAGCTGGATCCTGACAACCAGTGGTATCTGCACTGCTGGTTCGGGTCGGGAGGACTGGATTTGTCAGCTGGCACAACTAACACTGTGACATGTCCTGCATGTGTCCTGTGCAGTTTGTGTGAAGGATGCCGGGGGAATCACTTTGCTTTTTTAAGTTTTGCCATCTTTGTGGCTTTAATAACTACACATTTGAATAGCAGATGAAATCTCTACAGAATATTATTATACTTAAGACTTCTTGTTTTCTGCCTTGCAGTTTAATTATGTCAGAACAATGGCTTGGGAACAACCTATGAAAATATTTTTTTCTTTTTGTCCCTTTTCTCATTCTTCTGTGTTTCTGGATGTTCTGTACAGCAAAGAAGGCATGGTATTTATTTTATGAGTAACAAGAGATGAAGGCTTGCTTTTCCTTTCTGAGGATTTTTCTGCCCATAGTTGAACCTTCTTAATCTGTTTGTGGTTTGTTTTGCTTTATGGTGTTTCAACTTTGCCTCGAGGGAGACAACCTACATCCTTCCTAACCAAGGTTTGCCTTGGCGCTAGTGTGAATTTTGACCAAGTAAATAGTACAAGAATTAAATTTCTCTTTGTAGGTTAAAGCAATCATGGCTAGGCTTCGTGAACGAAGAAGGAGAAATGACAAGTCATTTCACTCCTAATAATGTATGAAATTTGTGAATCTGAGGTTGCAGGAGGGAAGAGGAATACCAGAGTGTAAAAAAGTTCATTTTAAAAGCAAATCACCTTTGGCAAACTTCTGCAGCTTAATGGACAGGTCGTACACCTTGCAGGCATAAATACTGGGCTTTATTCTTGTGCTGTCAGATTTTCCTTGCTCTTTCTTTGGGAGAGAGGTTGGGGCTCCAGGCCATATAGTCCTAGTTACTGTCTTGCTCTTGAGAGGATTTGGCTTACAGCACTGCTTTTTTTTTTTTTTGAGGAATTTGCCTGGCAATGACACCAGTTTTGGGGATCGGTGAAATTTTACAGCCTTTCCTGGTGCTGCATCTCCTCCCTGGTTCTAGGTGGTTTTCAAGTGAAAGCTTTCTGCTGCATATTTCTTGTAAAGTTTTGGTGTTCTTGATGTGGAAAGTATCATAGGAAAAAGCAGAAGTCGACCACATAAAATGCTACCAGACCTGGATGGGGAAGCAAAATAAGAATTTTGCTCTTCTATCCCCTTTTTCAGCTCTGGTAGCTCTAGGTTGCAAGGAGCAAGAGCTCTATCCAAGGTGAGAGCTGCCTGGGTTTTTCCCTTCAGGTTATTGCAGGTTTTGAATTGTAGGGCTGAAGTTTGAGACAAGTGCTTATCCTGGTACAGAATTAAGTATGCCATAGCTCCAGGCTAAGACATTCCTGCTGTGAGTGGGAACAGCTGACCTCATGCTCTGACCTCCACAGGATCTAAGTGGATTTATTCATGTGTTTAAAGTCAGCATATGCTTCTGTACATCGCTAAGCCACAGCCTTGGTGACAAACAACTCCAGATTAATTATATAACAAGGGTGATTGCTTTAAGTTAAGGGTGAATAATACCACTTCACTCAGGATCTCCAAACTGCTACTATGCAAGGTGCTGGCACGGTGTGAAAATAACTGGGAAGGTTGGATCTGGAGTCTTTCCAGTACTATAACTCTGTATTTCCCAATAATGTATTCTGCTCTGATATTCCGGGGAGTAGTGGTGTTAAAACATTTTTTTTTCAAGCATCAAGTTGTGATAGTCACTTCTTCTGTGGTGTTTGTTTTGGTTTTTTTTCTCTGTGTACACAAATTTAAGTTGGTGCAATTAAGAAATATACGATGTACAGATTTATTATATCATTAAAAAAAAAACTGAGAAGAGGATTTTTTAAAAGAAGTAACTGCTGCTGTACATAAAATAAAAGCCTATTGTCTCTGTGTGGTGTGCTGTCCTACATATCCAGTCAGCCAAGCATAACAGATGGTTTTCTACTCTCCTTCACTCCTTTGACCTGTTGCTCAACACACTTCCATTTACCTGTTTGTTCAGGAGCAGAGTTCTCTACCTGCCCTGTGCTGACACTGTGGGTTGTTTCTGATAACCCTGGCCTATCAGGTGGCCCCTTGTTGCCTGAGAAATCACCTGAAACATGGATTGGGTGGGAATTTAATGGCAAGAAGGAATTGTGGAACTCGTTGTGGTTACTCATTATTCTTTCTCTCGGTTATTATGTTGTAATACCCTGAACTGGGGGGGCAAAGGGGAAGTAGTGTTAAGGCCTTGAACCTGTGGAGAAGACACCAGTGCTAAAATAGAACAGCCTGGGAATAAGGTTCTCTCGCAATTATATTATTTAAAAAGTTATGTTATAAATGAGTGCTGCCACAAAGCCCTACCAGACTGAGTGGGGGAGGGTGGGGGGACCAGAACTAAAACAACAAAACACACAGCCAAATAAAAAAATAATAGGCTTTCACATGAAAATAGCCACAATAGTGTTTCCATTTCCCTTCCAAAAGTGAGCGCTGTCCCTTCTTTTATAAGGAAATATTATGTTTCCTTACTGGGGGTTACTACTCATATTTACATGCCTGTTTATTTCACTACTTTGCTGAAAGTTCCCAACTCTTTCCTTCTCCTTCCTGCTCTAAGCAGGGTGAGGTTTTATACTTGGTGTGATGCCATTTCTGTACATTAGGAAAAGTGACAAGGCCTATCAGAGGGAGAGCAGGAATGGATGTGGCACAAAGTCTGGCACCACACCCTTCTTTTAAGCTCATCATTCTGAAACAATGAGTGTAAGGGATCTTCATTTTTTTATCTCTCTATCCAAGCCAGCCTGGTGTAAGATACAAGTTCACAGTCTGATGTTAACTCTGCAAAAAAAAAATTAAAAATCATTTTAGAGCTGCAGGATCCAGAGTCACATTCTAAACATACAGATAACTATTCTGAATTATTTTATACTTACTCTGACACAGTGAATGCACTGCAAGTAGGATAACCACCCTTGTGTGCTGGATGCTGGAGAAAACCAGGCAGAGGTCCAGTGTGCACTGAGATGTACAGGAAAAATAAATTAAAGCAGACTATACAAAGCTAAAGGCCCATCAGCTTTGGTCTTTGAAAAAGCAAATGACTTGTACATGCAGCTTAGATCCTTGAAAAAACTCCCCTTACTGCTCCTCTGCTCATTGAAAACTTCTGGTGAGTCATTTTGAATGAATAAATGGTTCTCCCTCCCAAAATTAACACTGTCTTGCCAAGAACAATGTTTTCAAAATTCAAATGCTGCATTATTTCAGTTTACCCAAGCACCAACATGAAGACAGTCCCAATATGGCCAGTGTCCTGGGATGCATCAGGAAGAGCACTGCCAGCAGGTCAGGGAGGGGATCCTGCCCCTCTGCTCAGCCCTAACGAGGCACATCTGCAGTGCTGTGTCCAGTCTGGGCTCCTCAGGACAGGAGGGACGTGGAGCTCTTGGGGCAGGTCCAGAGGAAGATGCAAAGATGCTGAAGGGATGGAGCATCTCTGGGAGCAGGAAAGGCTGAGAGAGCTGGGACTGTTCAGCCTCCAGAGCACACACTGAGAGGGGACCTCCCCCAGGTCTGTGGGGTCTGCAGGGAGGGGGCAGAGGATGGACCAGGCTCTGCTCGGGGGGGCCCAGCAATGGCACAAGAGGAAGGGGCAGGAACTGATGCCCAGCAAGTTCCACCTGGGCAGGAGGAAGAACTTCTTTGCTGGGCAGTGACCCAGCACTGAACAGATCACCCAGAGAGGGTGTGGAGTCTCCCTCACTGGGGATATTCCAAAACCATTTGGACACAATCCTGTGCCATGTGCTCTGGGATGACCCTGCTGGAGCAGGGAGGTGGGACCAGATGACCCCACTGTGGTCCCTTTCAACCTGACCCATCCTGTGATTCTGTGAATACTCTCTACACATCCCTTTTGAAACTGGGTACTCGTGCAGAAGGGTTCATGGGATGGGTAAGGTGAGAAGCAAGAAAGGCCCCAGCCCTTGCCAACTGTTAAAAGATGTAGCCAGGCGTGAGAAGAGCACATCCCCTGGACAGGGCAGAGCTGGTGCCTGCTTCCCATCACCTTTAAATCTGAAGCAGTGCTCTGACTGTGAACACTGGCCAGTCACACCACAGTGGCACGGCTGCATAAGGCTTCGGGGGGACTCTGATGCAGGCAACACTTCTTGCAAGAGCTAAAACTGGGACACCTTCCTTGAATACAAAAAGCCTGAGTAGTTCTTGCCGTGGCCACCGCCTCTGGGGGTGGTTCTTGGCTGCACAGAAACACTTCACATGGGGAGTGGTGAAGTTCCCTGAACTGAAAGTTTAAGCCCCCTGGAGGAAGAAGGGCACTCTTTTTTTTTCCTGGGCACCAAGCCTCTGTGGTGGCCCGTTATATAAAATTATAGGCATTGCTGGTTAGATTTCTGGTGTTGTGTGACTGCAGTGTCTGCTGTCAGGCACAGCAGGGCTGGGCCCTGACAGACCCTGCTAACAACAAACTGATGAGACTTAGGAATCATGGAATCAATTAGGTTGGAAAAGACCTCTGAGATCATCGAGTCCACGCCCACCATGTCAACTAGACACTGAGTGCCACGCCCAGTCTTTCCTTAAACACCTCCAGGGACGGTGACTCCACCACCTCCCTGGGCAGCCCATTCCAATGTTTAACAACCCGTTTTGGGAAGAAATTCTTCCTAGTGTCCAACCTAAACTTCCCCTGGCATAACTTCAGGCTGTGTCCTCTCATCCTAGAGCGCTGAACTTGGGATACAGAGGCACAGGTGCTCAGGTACATGGCCAGGGCTTGGCTTTGGAAACACAAGGCACGTCCAGAGAAGGGCAATGAAGCCGGTGAAGGGTCTGGAGCACCAGCCTGGTGAGGAGTGGCTGAAGGAGCTGGGGGTGTTTAGCCTGGAGAAAAGGAGGCTCAGGGGGACCTTCTTGCTCTCTACAACTTCCAGACAGGACGTTGAAGCCAGGTGGAGGTCGGGCTCTTCTCACAAGCAACCAGCAACAGAATGAAAAGAAATAGTCTTAAACTGCACCAGGGGAGGTTTAGGTTGGACATCAGGAAGAATTTCTTCACATAAAGGGTGATCAGACATTGGAATGAACTGCCCAGGGAGGTGGTGGAGTCCCCATCCCTGGAGAGGCTGGACATGTTACTCAGTGCCCTGGTCCAGCTGACCACGGTGGCGTTGGGTCACAGGCTGGACCCGATGACTTCAGAGGCCTTTTCCAACCTGCGACTGGTTCCGTGATCCCGTTCGAACGCTCCGGGACGCCTCCATCCAGCGGCGCCCGGGGGATAGAAGAGACACCCAGCCGGTGCAAAACGGGTGCTGTGCCGCGCTCAGCGGAGCCCGGGGAGCCTCCCGGGGCAGGGCTGCGGGGTCTCGGGTGCGCTCATCCAGCGGGAAGGGCTGCGGGTGGCGGAGAGGAGGCACCCCGAGCCAGGGCGGGTGGAGGGGCATGGGCACGGACAGGGATAAGGGCAGGGATAGGGATAAGGGCAGGGATAGGGATAAGGGCAGGGATAGGGACGGCGACAGCGCCGCCGCCCCCCGCACTACACTTCCCGCCCTGCTCCGCGCCGCGGCCCCGCCGCCTTCCGCTGGCGCGTGGTTTCCGGAGCGGATCGGAACCCGGAGCGCGGATCCGATCCGGGCTCTGGCCATTCCCGGGGCAGGTAACGCCGGTCCCCCCGCGCTCCTCCCGCCCGCACCCCGCGCCCTCCCACGGGGCTCCCCCCGGCCGGGACCACCCCCTCGCCCGGCCCCGCCGCGGCCCCTCCCGCCGCCCCCGAGCCGCGCCGAGCGGCGGGGCCGGGGCGGCGCGGCGGCGGCTCCGAAGCCGCTCCCGGGGCGGCGGGCTGCGGCCCCGCCGCCTCCTCCTCCTCGTCCTCGTCCTCCTCCGCCGCCGCCGCCTCCTCCAGGCCGCCTGTTCTTTGTTACAGCGGCCGGGAGGGCGGTAGCGAAGGGGGCGAGGCGGGTCCGAGGCAAAACCCGGCGGAGCCGCTCCCGGATCGCGGCCCCGGGCGGGCTCCGGGAGGGGTGGAGGCGGCGCGGCACCGGCGGGGCCGGCGGGGCGGGGTGGGTGGGGTGTCCGCGGGGATCGGCCCGCGCAGGGAAGGGGACCCTTCGGGGCCGCGGGGATGCGGGGCTGGGCGCGGGGAAGCGCCTCGGCTTGGCCGCGGGGGCTCGGGAATGGATTGAGGGGGTGCCGGCGGGGGGGGGGGGGGAGGAATTCCATGTGTGATCCAAAGGGAAGCGGGGAAGAAGAGGAGGAGGCAGGTGTAGGGATGCTGATCCTGCCCCGGCGGGAGAAGGTGGCGGCGGCGGGAGCCTTAGGAGACAAAAGGGAGGGAAAGCCGCGGGCTGCGGCGCTCGGCACACGTGAATTTTCTGCAGTACGCTCGTTTCCATTAAACTTTGCGTGTACTTCGTGCACACGGTGATGGGGAGCGCTGGGAAGGGCAGGTGGCGCCGACTCCCAGCCGGTGTGTTACTCCGTGCCCCCAACCCCGACTGATGCAGGGATCACCCCCTGCTCCTCCGTAAGAACTGAGAGAATGGCCGTAATTTTGGGGGGGGGGAATACAAGGCCTCTCTGTAGTTTTTGCCAGATGTGCCGCGATTACTTTGAGCAGTGGCATGAATTAAGTTTGACTGCCTCATGAGGAAAACTGCTTTTTTAAATGGGTTCGCGCACACGTGCATCTGCAGCACCCACCCACTTGTGCTTTCAAGTTGTTTATTCACACTTTACTAGAAGCCCATTCTAAACCTACGGAAAACTGAAGAAAGGGAAGCTTTAATTTTACGTGGTTGGTCATTAAGTTCAAACACCGATTCTTAGGCACTGGATTTAATTTTTTAAGTTACTCTTGCTTATTTTTTTTTTTTAAATCCATTTGCAAGATCGGAATTACTCAGCTTACCACTGGAGCCTGATTTCTTCCTTCAGCAATTTATTAGGGGAGAGTGTGTTTTTACATCAGTTCTTATATTTTTGGATCCTTAATGGCATGAGTGGTCCCCTTACGGTAACTCCCATGTCGTGCTCTGCAAGCAGGTACCTGTGATGCTGCAGCGTCTTCATTTGGGTTCCCTCAAGTTCCAGATATGTTTGGAGGCCTGTGTGGAAGCTGGAATTTTTGTGTATAGCTGTGTGCTCTATTCTCAGGCACGAAGTCACTCATTTAATTATACAATCCAAAACAAAAGTGGTTTTCTGCTCTTTTACTGTCATCAGAATTAGACCTTGTACCTGGTCTTGCTTCTTCTGTGTAGCTTTTCACCTGATTATTCACCGCTAATGATCGCTCTCTGTTTCATATAAAAAATACTTGGAATTCCAAGAAGCTTTGATTATCTCTGCAAGGCAAGAGCAGCATTACGAGCAGTGGGATGAGTGACTTAATTGAGTATTTTTCTGGTACAAGTGCTTGAAAAGAAAAAAAAAAAAATCAGACATGACCCAGAGCAACAGCAGGAAGAGGGTAAAAAAGTTCTGACGCCTGTCTTCAGTGCCATCATGTGAGCCCACGTGGAACAACGTGACTCTGTTTACCAGCTGCAGCGGGTGGCACGGTGTCGTTTATCTCAAAAACTCCTGGGGAAATACATGTGAGATTCGGGAGGAGTTTTGAAGCCTATGGGTGAGGAGTGTGAGTCTGTAAAGCAGAATTTTGAAGCAGATAAATGGTGTTTATTTCAGAGCACAGCGGGTCGTCGTGCCGGGCGCGGGAGTGGTGGGTGAGGGATCAGAAATCCTGCGACGTGCAAAACAAAGATCTTTGCTGCAGAGATGAAAACTGTGCTAATGCAAGTGGTAACTGAGGTGTGGTGTCCTTACCCACTGCGTGAGGGACCTCTGAGGGACCTTCACGCTTTCTCCCCATCACCTTGAACAACATTGATGCTACTGCGATTTCTCCGCCCCTTTGTTGCTATTCTCATCCGACGGGCCCTGGAACAAGACTGATGTTGCTGCTCCTGTAAAAACACATGTCCTCAATCTGCTGTTTGTCAAGGATGCGACACAGGAACATCTTGGAAGGGGAATGCCTTTGCTGAGCAGGTTACACAGCAGCATTGCTGGTGTGGCTGCACTGCATCCCTGAACCATTGACCGAGGACACTATTTGTTAATTCAGCCATATTTAGGATTAAAGTCTTGTCAGGACATCAGCTATCTAAAAATAGTACACCTCTGTACACCTCTTGAAACAGTGCAAAGCATCCGCATAAAGTCTTGGTTAAAAAGCAAAGCAAACCCATTTTTTACATCAGCTTACAATGCACTTTCTGTGGCTGCTTTTGAACCGTTGTACTTTGGATTTCCCTAAATACCTGTTGCATTGTTTGCTGTGCTTTCAGGGTAAGAGCTTTTGGGGAAATTTCCTGAATTTGCTGATATGCTCAGCACTGGGCTTTGTATAAATGTTTGTTATGTTATATAAGTTTAGTCCCCAAAAGCTGTAGCCAAAAAAGGCCCAGCTTGTGCCACAGATAGGCAGTGCTGGCCCCTTCCCAGGGCAGAGGATGTTAGGAGGGATCCTGCTGTTGGCAGGTGGAGTTGGACAGGGCAGAGCTTGGGACAGACAGTGTGGGAAAGTCAGGCTGCCCATACTCCAAATTTCCAAAATTCCCCTTAGGCTGTTGCCCAGGTAGCTGAGTAATGGGATCCCTCCTGCAGTGACCAAGAGCTGGAGTGGCTTTCCACCCAGTGCCTATCTGTGTGGGGATGGAGCCCTTTGCCAACTGGGAGTTGTTTATGGATTGTTTATTGGTGAAGGAACCTGTTTGATGCTTCTGGTGGAGGCTGAAGGTGGAGCAGGGTGTGGGTGCAGCTGGAATCAGATGTTGCTCCCAGGCTTTAGCAGCAGACTTGGCACAAGTGTGGAATCCCTCCTGAAGCAGTGAAAGGGATTGTGTGGGACTTGTGCTGAGAAGTACCTGTGCAGAAGTAGCTGCTGCTCTGGGCTCCAGCCTGAGGCAGATTTCCACAGCCCAGGCAGGCAGAGCACATGGAGCATCAGTCTTCAAGAGGAAACTCCTAATGGAGGGTCCTGCTCGTGCCCTGATCCTGAGTAATGACTGTTCTTGTGCATATCTTTGGCTTGGCTTTTGTTGCAGTAGTAGCAAATGCTTTATCTATTTTCAAACAGGGCTCTGCTAGTTTGGTGTGTCGTGTTTCCTCTCCTCTTGTGCTCCTCCCTCTCGCAGGCTCTCTCTTTCTCCTTCCCATTCTCTTCTTGACCAATATACTTTCTGTTTCTGCAGCCTGATCTCTCTCAGACTTGGGTCATGATCTTTGTGTTGCTTTGCCCCTCACTGGGTTATTGGGAAAATTGCTTATTTGAAGAGGAGAGCCTTTTCATGGTTAGAAAAGGGAGAGCTATCTGCTGTTGTGATCTTAGCCATAAATCATCAGACTTTTTGCCATAATTTAGTCATTGAGGAGCAATAGATAGTGTTCATGCAAGTCCTTAATACAGGCTGACAAAAATGAAGTGAATGTAGATCATCCTTATTTAATTGTGAAAGCAAATTGGTGAGTTACCATTTCATGGAAGGCAGTGACAGAGATGAGATTTGTTTTCCCAGGTTTTCTGATACTCATTACCACAATATACCTCAGCCTTTAGAAAAAATCTGTGACTTTACCTCTAGTTTTTAGGTTCTTGGGATTATTGTGTTTATTAAATAAGTAATCTGCCTTTCAGAGATAATTTTTTAAGCTACTGTTCAGTAGAATGTTGCACTGGGCCTTGTTTCTGCAGTCACTGGGGGTTTTAACAACTTTAATTTCTTTAACTTTCCATTGATACTCCTGCAGGGACATTAATGTGTTTGGATGTGCTCTGGGCCTTCACAAAGGGATGTTTACATAATATGGAAAGTAAAAGTCATTCAGAACTAACTTCATCTTTTGTATTTTGGCAGGTTTAAAAAATGGCTGAAGATGGCAGTGATGAGATTATGTTTATTTGTAAGTATCAGGAAAAAGATCTGACTCTCACATTGTGTGGCTTGTCTACTCAGAGTGTTTGAAATTAAAGGCTAAAACAGACTTAAGATTTTATATTTAGAAAAATATTTTATTAAAGGAAGCTCAAACAGCTTATGGAGGAATAGAGAGGAGGGTGTGTAATTTAAGCGTACACATTCTGATGCTGTTGGCAAACACACAAGGAAACCTCAGAATGTGAGTGAGCAGAACAGCTTTTTCATGGCTGGAGTAAGTGAGATTGAAGGCCTTAACACCAGTGTAAGCCTTTGTTTATCCAGCCAGCTTTAGCAACCAGAGGTGTCTGTGGGGAGCTCTGACCTCTGGCCCGACCTGAAGATCTGCACCTCCACGGGAGGGGCAGGCAGGCTCATTATTCTTTCAGAGCAAGCCCGGTTTGAGATGCATCAACTGCTGTGACAAGTCTCACTCGCAGCATTCACTGCCTGTGCTTCGTGTTTCTGCCCTCTGTGTCACCCTGTGTGCCAGGCTGGGCTCTGTGGCCTGGGATCTGGGATTGTGGGATCGTGATGCCTGAGGGAAGGCTGCAGCAGTGGTGTGCCAGGGAGTGTGGTGGGCAGTGCCCCATCCTCGGTGGAGCTTGTCAAGCAGCTTGTTTCCCAGTGGCACATTAGCCCTGCAGCCTCGCCTTTGTCACCAGCCTGGACGTGCAGGGTCTGGTGTCACCGTGGAAACAAGAGATGCAGAGTCCACTCACCTGCTTGTGTGAGCAGAGAGGGCCCTGATATCGTGGATGCAATCAGGGCAGACCAGAATGTGTCCTTGGGTTTTGGATCCGTGGCATTTTACCCCTGATGGCTCCACAGGTGCACTTTAACCTTATGGCAACTGTATCAGAAAGTTCCACTTTTCCCTCCACCGCAGATTCCTTCAAAAACAGTGTTGACTGTTGGCATTTTTACTGAGTTGCAGGTACCAGTAGTGAAGTTACCTTGTCTTCCCCTTCATTAAAAGATCCTGGTGGATAGCAACAAGAATGGAGATGTGATGCCATTCCTTAATTGCACAGATAGAAGGTGTCACACACACGATTTTCCTCTTTCCAGTGAAGTCTGTGGTCTTTGAATGTCTCGAGTTTTCTTGTGCTCTCCGTAATTGGTTTTTCCCATGGGATGTGGAGACTGCTTATGTTCTGAAAAAGCAGAGTTGTTACCAGTGATACTGTGCACTCCCAGAACTAACAACCTTGAGTACATATTTCATAGACAAGAGAGTTTTGGAATATTTTTTTATAGAAGTCTGTGAATACAGTTCCCCCGGAGGTATTTTGTGCTTATTCCCATGCTAATTTTTGTGGTTCTCCTGTGTCTGTAATCTCTTGAAAGGGTCACATATAGTAAGGGCAATGGCTGCTGTAAGGTATGCCTTGGATATTGAGACATGCCACACAATGCCAGTGTCATTTTCCCTGGATTTGGTCATTCCTCTGCAAAGGAGTGAGAGGAATGTGTGGTTTATTCCTGCATGTAGTTGTGGACAGTGCTGTCTGAACCCGTACAGTGGCTTGTCTTTGCAGGAGTGAGGAGTGCCTTGATGCAATCAGGAGATAAGAAAAACACAAAGTTCCCTTTGACAGCAAAGCCTGTGTGAGAAGCTGCTGCTCTGGCTATTCCTTCCTGTCCTGGTTGGTTGTGACAGCCCTTTGTGGGTGATAATCCAGTTCTTTTCAGCAGTCTGGTTTACACATTCCTCTGTGGCTCCTCTCTGCTTTGGGAAATCTGCATTTAGCCCGGGTTATTTCGGGAATATTAAGCGCAGTGTGAGCTACAGGCTCACCCAAAGGAGTGGGGATGGTGGGACAGTAAACAGGACAGCTGTAGGCTGAGTTTAGATGCTGGTGCTGTGTGGATGGCACTTCCCCACGGATCCTTTCCTCTGACACAACTGTCTGGTGCTGTACAGCCAGCCAGACTGGGAAATGAATTCAGCTGAAAAATAAAGTGATGGGAAGAGCTGGTTGTCTCATTCCCTGGTTCACCAGCAGGCAGCACAAACAGGAGGCAGCAGCCAGGCTTGGGGGTTGCATCAGTCAGTACTGCTGTTTGTCAAATCTATGTGAATTTTCACTGCTAAGCTGTTTTTGTTGCCAGAAGAAGAAACAGTGTGGAGCTATGTTCTGCAGTTTGGGATCCCTTGTTTTAGAAGAAGTCCTTTTATTCACTGGGACAAATACCTGGGGGGAGAATTTTCCAGTTAGGAGCTCAGAGTGGCTTTACCAGAGGGGACATATCTTGGAATGACACGGCTTTTGTCCTGTCTCTTCCCAAACAAGGTGTAGTGATCCTCTTCTTTGCATCCTTCCTGGGGTTACCTGACTTGCCCTTGTAAGTGTGGAGCTCAGATGGAAATGGCACTGCAGGAATATAACCCCTGTGTGATGATCTCCTCTGAAGCTGTGTCAGCAGCTGACCAGGCAGGGCAGTTTGGCAGCTATTTTTTCACAGTGAAGCAATGTATATGCATTTGGAATCCTGTTAAGTTAGCTTATTTTAGAAAGCCTCAAATTATCCTGGTCTGAAAATGGTTCCTTAGGAACCACTCAGTTCTGGGTAATTTACAGCCACTTAAACTAAAAGTTAATTTAGGTAAACTGACAGTGAACTAAGTGTATTGTGCAGCCAGATGACTTGTCTGGAAAGGCACCAGGAGGTATCTTGGAGGTCTGTCTCCCTGCTCTGTGGGTGAGAAGTGTGTGTGGACCAGGCATAGCTCTGGGCAGAGCTGGGCTCCCAAAACATGCTTGTGCTGAGGTCTGTGCCAGTTCTGGTACTGATTTATGCCTCCTGTCACTGAAAACACCACATTAGCCAGGCTTTTTCTGAAAAACCAGGTTGTGGGGAAGGTAGTAATGTGATTTTCTTTATCTGCTACGTGTTACAGCACTTTATCTGAAGAATAATGCCATCTTTAAGCAGAATATTTACTGTGGATATAAGGCAATTATTTTCCCTCTGAGAGAGGATTTAAACAATTGTCTTCTGATAGCACTGATCACAGTGTGTGTTATCTCACCTATACAGGTGCCAGCTATCAACTCGGTGATGTTCAATTATTCATGTTCTTTTAAGCAATATAAATAAACATCTGCCTCTCTATGTATGTATTTTGCCTGGTGCCAGGTTTGGCTTGGAAGAAGGAGGCAGCTGCCTCACTAAAGTGTCTTATCAACCTTTTCTCTCTGCTTCCTTGCAGGGTGTGAGGACTGTGGGCAGTACCATGATTCAGAGTGTCCTGAGCTGGGCCCAGTGGTGACAGTCAAAGACTCCTTTGTCTTGAGCAGGGCAAGGTAAGGAGTGTTTGAGTTAGTCCTGCCCAACCCAACACCCCTGTCCGTCCTTTAAAACATATCTGACGTCTAATGGATGTCGCTGACAGCTGGAAAGAGAAGTCCCAGCGGGCTGCAGAAATTTATGGAAAGCACATGGCCTTGATTAAATAGAAAAATTGATGCACACACTTGAGTGCTGTACTGAACTGAAGCCAAAAAAATAACTTGCCGCTCATCAGGATTTGGTTTCTCCGCAGAGGTTTCTGGCAAAAAGTCAGGTGGTGCCAGATGGGGTGATGACTTCTGTCTTGGTTGAGTACCTGCCACTTTTTCCCCTCCTCAGATGCACTGTATTAGTTTCTGAGAAGTGTGTGAGGATTTCTCATTCATGCTGTATCCTCCTGCTTGGTCTGAACTCCGTCATTCCTCCACTTAGAAGCAAAACAAGTTGTTCTCATTATTGTGGGTCTTTAGGAATGATTAGGGGTAATAGTTCTGTCAGAAAATCTGTGACAGCACAGCAGAAACGCTCATGTTTGCCAAAAGAAACAAATAGACTAAATCTAGTGGGGAGCAAACAACACTGAGTAGTGATTTTTACAGAGAAAGACAATCAGGCGTTGTCAGCAAAATTCATATTAGGATGCAAAATGTAAGGCTCAGGAAAGGAACCAGCTATTGTGAAGATGTAGTGCAAATCCAAAAAGGGAAGAGAGTTCAGATGGAGTTCAAATGGATTATATAATGTGCTCAAGGCTTCTGTGTTTCTTCCTGGGGGAGTCACAGGCAGAAAACATGGGCACGTGGGCAGCAAGTCTGGCACCTGCTGGCTATGTAGGCCGTAGTGTGTATTCCCAGGATCATTTTATAACAAATACTGGATGTGCCATGTGGGGCAGGATGCTCCTGGTGTCCCACCCTGTGCACTGGCAGCACCAGTGCAGGAGCTGTCACTGGCTTTCTGGGCCTTCCCAGAAGAGGAACTGCCCTGCAGCACCTGCCAGGCAACACCTTCCTGTGCCTGGAAAAGCCTGCCATGGACGATGTCCTGCAGCAGATGTTAATGGTTCACAGCCCTGACACTAGAGGTGCTTTGTTCTGGGGGGTAATTTCAAAATAGGAACGACAGAAACTGGGGACGGAGGTGCTTTTCTTGTACACAGAATCTGGGCAGTGCAGTAAGTCTCCAGCCTGCACTACACAGATGGAGTGACAAGTTAAACTGTTATTTCTTACCTTTTATCTGTTTTCTTTTTCCCTGCATTTTAATGCTTTTACTTATTTGTACGGTGGAAAATTACTGTAGTGTCCAGAATTTCCAACTGTGAACGTTTGCAAACATTGTGCTTGCACTGGTTTTCAGTGTTTTCTTTTTGACATTCAAATGCCAGCTTTTCCTTAGTGGAAGTTTGGGCTGCTGGACAGTAGATTTGAGAGGAGAATTAAAAAACTGCCTGTATGACAGAAAAAATGTATTTATTTTCCTGAAGAGTTTACAGCTGAAATCAGGTAAGATAAGAAAAGGAAAATAAAAACGTATGGGCAGCCTTTGTTTTACATCTGGGAACAGCAGCTGAGAGAGTTGTCTGAGGTTGAGGGCAAGTTTAACCACAAAGTGGATATGACTCTCTTAAAAAACAGTCTAGTTGTTTAACCACAATTGTTGTTTCCTCTGTCCTAATGAAGAGATAAAATGAATAAACCATAAAGATTATAAAGGAACTTCACTGTCTCTAACATTGCTTATTCTATGTTTAAAACCGAAAACATTTTTTTTTTCAGTTAATTTGCTTATCACTATGATTTCTTTTTGTATTTCTCTTCATCCAGACACTGAAGCAGTTCTGCCAGTGTCAACTTTTGTAGTCTGTAGCCTGTCTGATTATTTTGAGCTTTTCATCTGTTAGACCTGAAAAAACAGAGTTGCAGTTGGGGTCTGTAAAGGCAATATGGTGGTTCCAGTCATATGATTTTTTGGGGGGAAGATGTTCTCTGTGTATTCTATGTAGTAATAATTTTTATTGGCACAGAAACACTTGTAATCAATGTGTCAGTGTTTGTAATCAGGGATCTACGAGGCAGATGGTAAACTTCCAGGGCTTTCATCTTAAGGGCTTTGATCTGCATAAGTCTATAAAGTGTTAATTTGGGGAGGGATATAGTTTATTTTTTAAAGTAAGCATGATCATAACCGAAGACCTATAGGATAATTCATTTGGGAAGAGGCCTCAGGATATTCCAGTCAGAACTTCTAACATCCATGCTGAACCACTAATTTGTTTCATTTTTATGCATTTTTTTTGTCCCTTCTACTCTTGCCATATGCCCATTTTTGATGTTTTTCCTGTACTGGGAGCCTGAAAAAGGAGGCAGTAAATCATTAGGATCCCCTGAGCGCAGAGCAGAGGGGAACAGTCGCTTCCCTCAATCTGTAGGTTGCTCCTCCAAATCATCCAGGCTGTGTTTGGCCCCCTTTGCTGCTGGGACACAACCTCATGTCCACCTTGCTGCCCACCACCCCATCCAGAGTCTTTCTCCCTGGTGATGGCGCTGGCTGAGGTTCTTCCTTCCCAGGTGCAGGATTTTGCATTTGTCCCTGGAATTTTACATGGTTCATGGCAGTGTATCCAGGCTACCCAGGTTCCTCTGGATAGTCCTGCCCTCACGTGTATGGACTGTGAAAGTGCACTCCCTTGTCCCTTCTAGGTTGTTAAGGATTGTTTAACAGTACAGGTTCCCAGCACAGCTCTCTGTGGTGGTGCCCCAGTTGTTGTGGCCTCCAGGTAAAGAACCACTGATCATGACCCTCTAAGCCTGACCACCCAATGAATTATTTCCTCTAGTAGTTGTGTACCCATCCAAGACCATAACATTCCAGCTGGGATACAGAGAGAATTGTTGAAGGCCTAAAAAAAGTAATCTCCCTTAAGTTGAAGGGAAATGGCATCTATTGCTTTTCCCTCGTCCACAGAGCGTTTTATCCTGGAAAACAAACAGTTTGTCAGGTATGAGTTGCCCTTATTCAATCCATGGGGACTCTTTTCGGTCACCTTCTCCTCATGTGACCATAAATGCCTCCCAGAAGGTCTTGTTCCATGATTTTCCCAGGGGCTGAAGTGAGGCCAATCAGCCTGTAGTTCCCTTTGGAATATAATTCTTTTTTGAAGATGGGTGTAACATTTGTCTTCCTTCAGTCATCATCATAGAATGGTTTGGGTTGGAAGTGGCTTTAAAGATCATCCAGTTCCCTTACCATGGGCAGGGATGCCATTCACTAGACCAGGTTTCTCCAAGCCCCATCCAACCTGTCCTTGAACACCTCCAGGGATGGGGAATCCACAGGTTCTCTGGACAGCCATTCCAATGCCTCACTTCTCTTGAAGTAAAGAATTTCTTCCTAATATCTAATCTAAATCTCTCCTCATTTAGTTTAAAACCATTGCCCCTTGTCCTGTCACTATCCACCTGTGCAAAAAGTGACTCTCTCTCTTTTTCATAAGCCCACTGAAAGGCCACAGTGAGATCTCCCTGGAGCCTTCTCTTCTCCAGGCTGAACAACCCCAGCTCTCTCAGCCTTTCCTACAGCAGATCATCCTTGTGGCCTCCTCTGGACCCACTCCAGCAGGTCCACATCTTTCCTGATGGATGCAGCACTGCAGGTGGGGTCTCATGAGGGCAGAGTAGAGGGGGAGTCATCAGAAACCTCCTCTGATGCCCATGATCTTCCCAAGACAATTGAGTGTAGTCTCAGTATGGTATTGGACTACTTTGCTGGGATTCTCAGGTGCAGCCAGTCCAGGTAGGTTCCTGGGCTTACATGGACTGGGCTTTCTCAGGTAATCACTGATTTGTCCCTCCTCCACTGCTGGTAGTTGTTCTCCTCTATTTATAAATCTTCCCAGAGTTTAGGGTGTGTTGATCAGAAAACTTTGCTGTCACCAGGGACTGGAGAAATACACGTTGACTTCTTTCTTTCCTGGGTTCCTGCAGTGTTGTCCCATGTGTAACTATTTTTTTTTCTTAATTCTCTCTTCAATGTTTAGATCATCTCTGCCTCCTAATTTGGAGATAAGACAACTGGAAGATGGGACTGAAGGAGTGTTTGCTCTGACCCAGCTGGTGAAACGCACCCAGTTTGGCCCATTTGAATGCAAGAGAGTTCTCAAGCTGGAAAAAGAAACGGATTTTCCCCTGAAGGTGAGACACAGCACAGGTCTCAAAGCAAGAACAAACCCTCAGTTTTGCCTGTGAGGACTTGATGCCATCTAAAACTATGGAAAAAAGTGTATGTAGGGGGATTATTTGGAACATCTTTTAGGTCTGCTCTGTAATGGATGAGTTAAAGAACCATTCTCTGGGCAAGGTACAGAAGAACCAAACTAGTGGCTCATTCTGTGTTTGAAGTGTTATAAGAGATACTGTCAGGAAAACTGGCTGTCTTTCACCTTCTGCATGTGATGATACAAGAGGGACAACAACTATGGCAGTTAATGAGTCTCTTCAATTTGATTGTTTAGCAAAATAAGTTTGGGTTTTTTTCTGCCTTGCATTTGTTTTATTCCTCTCTTGACGAGTCTTGGCAGGAAAAATACCACACTAAAAATGGAATTCAGTCTTAGTTTTCACTAATATCTAAGTCAGAAATGAAGACTTGGGAATGTAACTCGAGCTGATGGGTGTTTCACAGCGTGTTTCGCTCCATCCTCCTGTTTCCAGCCATTTTTTGAGAAACTGGTGGTGGCTGTAGCAAGAATTCTTAGGATAGGAAGTCAGTTTGTTCCCATCCTGCCCCTGGTAGTCTGTCTCAGACTTACCCATCTGAAGGTGTGACTGATAAATGGAACACCCCTGACTGCAGGAGTTGAGGCTTGCCTTGTCCCTGGCGTGGGCTGAAAAGAAGCCGCTGCAAAACCAGGAAATTAAAATCTTCCTTAACTTTGTGTGTTATTTGTCGGGGGGTTTATTACGTGCACGTTTTCCTTGGTAGGTGTTCCAGAAGGATGGGCCCCTGGTGTATTTTGACACCACAAACGAGGACGATTGCAACTGGATGATGATGGTGCGGCCGGCCACCGAGTACGAGCATCAAAACTTAACTGCCTTCCAGCAGGACAACGACATTTACTTCACCACCTGCCAGGACATCCCACCAGGGACTGAGCTGCGAGTGTGGTATGCAGCTTTTTACGCCAAAAAAATGGAAAAGCCAATGCTGAAGCAGGTCCCTAGTGTTGCCAATGGTATGTGTGGGGGCCTTTCTTCCTTCCTAAGGGCCCGGTGCTGACAGGGACTGGCAGTCCCTTGCTGTTGTAGTTGACAGGGCTGTTTATCCAGTAGGCTCTGCCCCCTGAGTCAGGCTAACCTGCATACAGGGGTGCCCTGCGAGAAGAAAGCACAGATGCTTCACCGTGGTACAGCCAAGTTTTTGAAAACAAAAGGCCTAGTTGGTGACTGAGCCTCTTCAGAGGGAACAAACTGGATAAATAGTTCCTAACTAAAGAATTGGTGGTTGCATTTCTGTTTTTCTGGGTAGAAGGGCAAAGGAGCTCGAGTATCAGTGAAATCTAAACGTGCAGATTTTCTAAGGAAGCCATTCCTCTTCAGCTGCAGTGAAAGTGTTTTGGTTTTGCACAAAACTGTTACACAGTTCTGAAAAAACTACATTTATCTTAAGACATGGGACCCACTAGAATGAGGATCCACATGAACTGTTTGTGCGTTGGAAAGAAAGGCAGCAGATTTTTTAGAATCTGATTTGGAATTGCCAGAAGTCTGTTGTTCCTCTGCCCCTTTGTTTGCAAGGGCACATTTTCCTATTGCTCTGGAGTTGGGAGTGTTCCCTGAACGGTATTACTGCTTATGCTGAGTGTAATTTGGGGTGACAAGTGCTTGGGGGAGAGGCCATTGCCCTCAGCTTTATGGTTGAATCTTGATCATAAGCAGAATCTCAAGTGCTACAGCTGAATTATTGCAGTTAACAGGTTTTTCTGAATTGTGTTTTTGGTTGGTATTGAGAGGTTTCGTCTTTTTCCTCTTTAGTTTAACCTGTTCATGTATTATTGCATGGATATGGGTATTTAAAAATATTGTTTAAGTATGTCCTGCTCTCTCTGTTCAGCACTTTCACTGTACACTCCAAACTATTAAAGGCACACTGCATGAGATTCAGGTATAAGAATGTCCTGGTTAAAATTTGACATGAGGAATGTTATTTGCAGGCCTGTTACAGAGTGAAACTTTTTTGACTACGGTTACTGCTCTCAGCACAGAGCAAGAGAATCAAAAGGTCTGGAAAGTAAAGAAGATGAACTCTTTTTCCTCTTCACAGATATGTGCTTGGCAGCGATGGAATCTGATAAAGAGGCGAATAAGGTCTCTTCAAAAACTTCTTCTGCTGTCTTACCCCATAAAAAAACGAAAAAATCCAGTATATCAGCAGCTGATCCAGCAGGTAGGCAAAATTACAGTGTTTTTAAGGAGGTAGAAAACAGATCTACAGAGCTGTTAGGTCTGTATATATATGTATATATAAAGTTATATATCTTACAGCAAATATTAATTTAGAGAGGATTTGAAAGTCTGGGTTTTTCTTTTAATTTTCATGGGCACAGTGCTTAAAATACCTATGCAGGTTAAAAAGAAACAGAGAGGTCAAACCTCTAGGCAGGTGATTTTTATGAAAAACAGAACTGCTCCTGACTTTGGAGGTGGTTGGTGTTGGGGTGGGGGCAATCCTAAAGAAAGTCTTCAGACTCTCTGTGCAAAGTGTAACAGTTTAAATGATCAGGTTCTAGAAGGAAAAATGAGACTCTGAGTAGATGTAAGAACAGTTTGGAAATTACAAAAATACTGGCCATCCCCAAATTACAATAATACCAGAAGTTTATTGAGATTGTTCTGGATTATGGGAACTCAAATTTAGATAAACTCATAAGCAATACAGATGCTGTTGGGAAAGAACATATGGCTGAGGAAATAGAACAGTCAGAGTACATAATGTGGAGATCAGGATCAAAGAAAACCATTCTGTGACCTGCTCTTTAAAAGGTCTCTTTCCTAAATTTTGCTTATTAATACTAAAAGTAACCAGGAGGAGAGTTGTTGTAGATGTGTACAAAGCAGTTCATCAGAAGATCCATTTGTTCCTCTTGGATACTGTCACAGCTAAAATGGGAAGTTGACTGGGGAGTTGCCTTTGAGCTTGTCATTACTGATTTTTCTGGGGGTAAATCATGAAGAATTTGAACAGCCCCTCCCACATCCTTCATCCTGCTGTCTGAAAGTCCAGCTTCAACAGGAACAAAACGCTGCCTGTTTGTATTTTGAGAACCCTAAAGTGTTCCCACCGATGGTGCTTCCAAACCAAAATATTCTCCTTTTGATTCTGACTGTTGGCCTCAAGTCATACAGAGCAGTTGCCAGCTGACAGATCTGTGGCTCCAAGTAAACCACGCTGCCCTGTGGCCGCCCTGGAAGCCTGAGGAAGTGGGAACTTAAATAGGACCTGACTCTTCCTGACAAACCAGAGCACAACTAGGGTTTCTGGGCTTACTGCTTGAGGCAGCTGAGGGGGAAGGGAAGTGCAGAGTCAGGGAAAATTAAGTTAGGCAGAATCTTGGGGTTTAGGTTTGCTGGTTTTATCCTCCTGGACAGGTCTCTCAAGAAGTTCTTTACGTCCCCTGTGAAGAAGGAATTTCTGTTGCTGTATTGTCTAGTAATTTCTTATTTATTTGTTTATTTGTTTGTTTGTTACAGCATGGATGAGATCACACCCTTGTAGTGCAGAATGTTGAACATAACTTGTAGCAGGGAACAGCCTCTGCCTCAGAGAATCTGTTATTTTGGTTTAAGAGCCAACACTGAAAAGTAGGAAGAACTTTACTGTCCCATCGCAGATGGGGTCCTCAGGCAGAGAGAGATGAACTGACCTGCTAATGATCACCCAGGAAATCTGTGGCAGAAACTGAAGCACAGTTTGAATTCCCCGTGCTGCCATTCACTTACCCAAACTTCAGTGTCATCCTCCTTCTCTGAGGGAGTCTTGTACACTGTGGAATATTCAGCTTTGTGCGAGCCAAAAAAAAATCTCTGAATTGGTCCAGATTTATTGGATCCTCTTGACAAATTCAGACAGATTATTCAAGGACTAGAATACAATGGACTCTGAAAAGAGTAACCATTTTCCTCTTTTCTTCTTTTTCATTCCAGTTCCATTTTCCCCCTAATTTCTTCTTTATTTTTGCCATCTGTCCTGAGCTTGAAAAAAACATTAAATTAAAACATTAATATGGTGGTTTCATAGCACATTTGATTAATGGAACTGCTCAAACCCAGATTTGCATTGTCCTCACCCACGCTTCCATTAATCCAAATGTTCTTACTCTGCAGTGCTCTTCACAGAGAGCAAGGAGGCTTCTCCTGCTTCTCTCCTCAGCTGACCCAAAAAAACAATGGTAACTCCAGTTTTAAAGGTGCTAAAAATCGCATTATATGATGCCTTTTATAAACACAGTTCTTTAGAAACTGATAAAGGAACCCTCAGGACTTTACAAGAGCACTCTCTCCTGGCATATTTAGTATCTTCTGGTGTTTCCAAGTGCTCGTGTTTGGAAAATCCTGAAGTGATCCCAGCTGCCCCCATGGGCCGCTTAAATTTGTAACCTGTGATACTCAGGGAGATACTGCAAGATAAACAAAGCTGCAGGGATTTACCACCTTCCCATTTCCAAGGCTTTTCAGTATTTCTTCTTGCTGTGATTTAGTGAACCCTCCAGAAGGCAGTGGAACAGCAGAAGCAAAGCCCATCCAGTGGACGTGTAAAGTGTGTTCATTTGCTTTCCAAGAGCCTCAGCTGCTGACAGGTAAGAAGTGCTAGAAATTCATGAGAGATTACTGAGAACCAACAGCAGAATTCTGCTCTTCCACAGCTGTGGAGCTGTGACAATCCACGATGGAGTAAGATAAAGGTTTTAGGTTTTGTGTTTCTTTGAGAAAAAGGGTAGCAGGGAAGGTAAAACAGTGATATTTTGGATCTGAGTGATAAGTCTGTGGTGATAAGTCTAAACATAAAACAAGTTTAATGTTGAATCTAGAAGAAATAAAACTGTTGTCTAGAGGATGACGTGTGACTGTCAGGAAAATCAAGGATGGGGAGCTGCATGTAAGGTCAGTGATGCCAGCTTATGCTTTGGAATATTTTCTGTCTGGTATTTATGTCACATATTTAGTAAAGGTAATGAAATACTTTTTTTTTTTCCTGCATTTTGTTTGCAGCTATATTATGCAGGTTTTTTAAAGAAAATATTTAGAAGCTCTGACCATTCAATGAATTGTTTTTGAAGAGGGGGCTTAGGCCCCTAAATAACTTGGACATTTGGAAAAATGTACCTGTTATTAGTAAGCACAACCTTTCTAGATATCACAACAGTGATATCTAACAAATCCCCTAAAAAATTCAGTCCTTGTAATTGTGTCAGTGTTTAATAAATGATATGCTTTTATTTAGGAAGGTATTGGGACTACATTTGAAATATTTTGAAGTGAGTCTCTGGAAAGAGAGATATGGACCTGGTAGATGGGTTTCAGCTGGATCTGATGGAATATTTCGTGACAGTTTCTTTCCTCCTTACTCTCTTACTCTTTGCCATCCACCCAGAGCACTTGCTGAGTCACCTGGAACAAGCCAAAGGTGCCCCCCAACCCAGCCCAAATGATGCTGTGGCAGAGAAGGCAGCAGAGGCTCTCCCCACGGACCTGCCAGTGCCCAGCGATGCAGCCAGTGCCAGCACAGACTCCAGGAGAAAGGCCAGGAGGGGGAGAAAGGCCAAAACAGCAAAAGCAGAAGCACCTCTTGTCATTGATGAAGAGAAAGATCCTGCAGGTGAAACAGAACTTAAGAAAATGAGAAAATGTTAAGCAGTATATCCACTCATCAGATCTGTATTGATGCCTTCTCAGCAAGGCCTAAAAGGTAGCACAGAGACAAGATGGAGGTTTTTAGTTAGACCAGGAAAGCAGACAATGAACAGACTTCGTTAATTATCTCCAGGGGCCTTGTCTGTGCTGGATGTTGCAGGACCTACATTTAGATTGCCTGCATTCTCCTATGGAGGTCTCAGAACAGGCTGGGGGATGAAGGGGTTGAGAGCAGCCCAACCGAGAAGGACTGGTGGGTGAGAGGCTGGACATGAGCCAGCAAAGTGTGCTGACAGCTCAAACAACAGCCATGTCCTGGGCTGCCCTCGAGGGAGGTGGTTCTGACCCTCTGCTCTGCCCTCATGAGACCCTTCCTGGGGTGTTGCATCCAGCTCTGGGGTCCTCAGCACCCAGAGGACATGGAGCTGTTGGACTGGGTCCAGAGGAAGCCTGCAAAGACCTCCCCTGTAAAGACAGGCTGAAAGACCTGGGGTTGTTCAGGCTGGAGAGGAGAAGGCTCCAGGGAGACCTGAGAGCCCCTTCCAGTGCCTAAAGGAGTCCTGTAAGAAAGATGGGAACAGACCTTTTAACAGGGCCTGTGTGATAAGACAAGGGCGGAATGGCTTTAAACTAAAAGAAGGACAGTTTAGATTAAATATGAGGATGAAATTTTTTGCAATGAGGGTGGTAAAACACTGGCACAGGTTGCTCAGAGAGGTGGTGGATGCTCATCCCGTTCAAGGGCAGTTTGGGCAGGGCTCTGAGCAACCTGGTCTAGTGAGAGATGTTCCTGCCCATGGCAGGGGGGTTGGACTAGCTGACTTTTAAGGGTCCATTCCAACCCACGCTGTTTTATGACTCTTTGAACATGTTTGTGGACAATTAACTTGTCCATTGCCACATCTTATTACAAATTCTGCATTTGAGGTTGTATTTCTAGCTGTCCACATTAATACTGTATTTTTGTGGTGTGTTTGCAGTGGGACACGTGGCTGACGTTGTAACTGAGGTCCCTGCAGAAGAGGTAGCTCTGCCTCCACCTGCAGAGGAGAGGATTATGGATTTGGTTTTAGGAAAGATGCCTAGCACCACAAATAGCATCAGTTCAGTGACAAAGTAAGTGTTCTGGAATGCAGTATTTCCTCTTGGGTTTAATTAAGGTTGTGTAGCATGTAGCAGCTCTTGCTAGACTTCTGGGCCCACAGACGCTCTTTTTTTATCAGCATAAAACTGTGTGATGATGCTGGTGCTGCTGCCGCTGCAAGAGCTGACTTTTGAGTGCCACAAACATGGCCTGTGCACTGGAAGATGGTGTGACATTGGTGGTAGAATTTTTGGAACATGAATGAGAATTTCATTTTCCATCGCAGTGCTGCTTTTATTCAGTGTGATTCCAAAAGCCTCCTGCAGCTGCAAGGTGAAATATTACTCCCACTGAATGTTGGTGATAAGACAGGGAAAGAAATTTTTGCTAAAAAAACCAATTTGCTAACCATTATTATTATTATTCAGTCTTGCTTGTCAACTCATGAATGACTTCATGTTGGTTTTGTATGATACTTCAGATTTAGAGCAGTGGGAGGGGAAAACTTTGGTATAACAGAACCTCAGGGAGACTCTTAAGTATCGTTTGATTAATTTGGGTTCTTTTGTGTCTTTTTGTCTTGGTAAAATTGGCCTCTTGAATTATTTTTTTTTAACAACAAAACACTCGATTTTTCAAAATTAGCTAGTAATGGTATATATTGAAGTCCTTAGCAGACACAGAGCCATCAAAAATGCATTTCAGAGCGTGGTTGTGCTGGGAGATAGCACAGTGCTGCTGCTTGGCAATGCCCTTTGCCTGGGAACTGCCAAGGTTTCCAAGCTGAAACAGCGCTGGTGTTTTCAGAGGATGAGCAGAACAGATCCTTGCTGTTCCTCTGAGGGGGCCTGCAGAGAGAATCTGCTGCTGCTTTTTGCCTTGTTCATGCTGGGTGACGATAATTTGGAATGAGACACACTCTGGCATCTGCTGCTTCCAAGGGGGGGTGGCCTGGGTGGGGGGGGGCACCTTGGCATTGAGGAAGCTCCATCCAGGCTCCCTCCCTCCCTCCCTCCTGCCAGGAGCTGAGCATAGCACTCCTCCAGCTTCTGCCAGCTGGTGGAACTCTCTTGCAACCTGTTGGGATACCTTTCAGTCCCTGCCTTTTTCTCTGATCCAGTAGGTTTGCTCATCACCAAAACACCATGTCCCTCAAAAGAAGTTTAATTCTCTCTAGTAGACACAGGATACGGCGGAAGCTGATAAAGCAGCTTGGGGAGCACAAGCGGGTCTATCAGTGCAGTATCTGCAGTAAGATCTTCCAGAACAGCAGCAACCTCAGCAGGCACATCCGTTCTCATGGTGGGTTTGCTCTTTGCCTCACTTGGGGATTCAGTTTTTGTCTCTTGTGGCCTCCACCTTTGAGTAAAATAGCTGGGCTGCTTTTATGTACTGGGATACGTGGCTATAGGAGAGCTGGTTTTCCTTTTTCATTTCTTTTAGCTCTCTCTAGGAAACTCTTTTAGTTATGCAGACCAAAGCATGAGAAGAGTAACAGCTGAAAGTTGGAGTATTTAAAATTTGAATTGAGTACATCTTTTAAACAAGGGCAAGGATGCACTGTTTATTCCAAAACTATTCTTGCCTTAAAATGTCTACATATATATATCAACCCCACCCTCACAAGCATAAGAGTAACATAGCTGTGTAAATGTCAGCTGACATTTAGCTTGTGATCTGCAGTTGCAGGGGTCTGTGTCCTATTCTAAGGGCTCAGTGAAAAATAATCACCGAAAAAGGGTGGGGAAGCTAAACCAAATTGTTGGAAATGGTTAAAATCCACAATTTGGGTCTCCTGAATTACTGTTTTTCATCAGTAGCCTGTTTGCAGTTTGCTTGTGCTTTGGTTTTTCCCGTGTCTTGCTTGGAGTTGGTTATAATCCATCACTGACTACTTTCCTTTTATCTTGGTTGATCCCCTCAGGTGACAAACTGTTTAAATGTGAGGAATGTTCAAAGCTGTTCAGCAGGAAGGAGAGCTTGAAGCAGCACGTTTCATACAAGCACAGTAGAAACGAAGTGAGTGGAAATGACTCTGGAAATGACTCTTGGGCTCTTGCTGAGGTCAGGTGGGAAGGTGCAGGGATATTCCAGGTGCCAGCTGGGCAGCTTGGGTCAGTTCCATGTGGGCAGGGATCCCGTGGGAGTGAGACAAGACTGATAGGGGAGAGGTAACATCTTCTGCTTGATGAATTTGCAAAGTGTGGACGTGCTTTTGAGCACATACAAGCCCTTTTCTGTATCCGAATTTCCTGTAGAAAGTTACTTCAGGCATCGGTTACAGCAAGGCAAGCTGGAGTTAGCTAGACCTGCTTGCTGTAGAGGTGAGATCTGACTTGAGTTTATGGCACTAAATAGGACTGTTCCAGTCTTGTTTGCCTGTGCTTTTCATTTATCACCACCTGTAGTGTCCTTTAATGTGTGAACTGTGGGCTAAGAGTGCGAACTCTGCCTGTTGGTGAGGGCCTTTTTGGTGCTGCTGCCATAGGAATATTAATAACACACCCATAAGTGGCACCTTATTAGTGAATATTCCCATTTCTGCTTGGCATCAAGGTCCTTAGATCTCAGATTGCTGCCATCTGTTCTGGAGGATGAGTCAGATCACATCTTATTTCCCAGACATTCTGTGTCTGTGTTGGACTGGGGGGGTTATCAGGAAGACTGTGACAAGCACACAGCTGGTATATGGTCTTTTTTTTTTTAATAGCTCAGATGTAGGAACATGGCAGGATGACACAGCATCAGAGTTTTGCATCAGTGGGTATTTAAATGTCCTCTTGAAGGAATAAAAATTGGAAAAGACAGAAAGCAGAGAAAATAGTTGAGATTTAGAATTTCTCTGTCAGACATGACTTGGATTTTTCTCTGACTTAAACTCTTCCTGTTTGCAATCCTCAGGTTGACAGTGAGTACAGGTACAAATGCAACACCTGTGAAAAGGCCTTTCGGGTAGAGAGTGCACTGGAATTCCATAACTGCAGGACAGGTGAGAACGGATAACTGCTCCACTCCCTCTGGCATCTCTACTCCATTTGGGGGTGATGTCCACAAATCCATCTCAGCATAGAAACTACAGAAGGAGGGTCCTATTTCCCTCAAAAAAAAAAGAAAGGTCTTTTTTTTTATAAGAAAAGTGTAACCAATAATCTGTAGAGCAAAATGTCCAGTTAGGTATTGCTTTGTTTAGTATCTCCTATTCACCTGTCTAATATCCTCACTGGTATTTCATTTGTATGTTCACAGATAACCTGTCACCATCTCTGTTTGATTTTCTTTCCTGAAACTAAGTTCCACCTCATTTCTCTGAAACAGAGGAACTGGAAAGGGGATCAGTACTAGTGATAGTTGTGGTTTCCTACAATGTCACTTTTATTCAGCTTTTTAAATGTTTTCTACTTGCAATAGTGTCTCTAGATGTTTTTTCCTTAGTGTCACTAGAACCTGTCCTTTTCTCCTATAGCCATCCCTTGTGGTTACTCACATTATTTATGCTGGGTGATCCTATGCTTAGAAAATGATGTCCTGGTTTCCTTTTGTTGGACCCACTATAACTGTCAGTCCAGAATGCCCCAGGTAATTGCCCCTCAGAGCACCATTCAAAGCAGGGTTTCTCATTTCCTTTCAGAGGGTACAGCTTGTGTAAAACCTCAGCCTTGTGCAGAATGGAAAGTGATGCCAAGTAACCTCAGTATTCTGTTTATTCAAGGACAGCAGCTCATGTTTCCTCTGAGCTGACCAATACAAGCAGCAATTTCTCATAGAATAGAATCACAGAATCATTAAGGTTGGAAAAGACCCCCAAGATCATCGGGTCAAACCTTTGACTGAGAAGGTCAAAGTTTCCTCTATTCTTCAAGGCATCAAATTGTAAATTCTTTGGGATGGTTGCAGCACTGGCAGATTCCATCTACAGGACCATGTTTTTGTGTTCCAAGAAGGGTCTCAACTACTGAGAACAAAAGAAATTCCCCATAGGCCTGTTGTCATGTGATGGTACGCTTTTGAGGTTTTATACTTTTTTCTGGAGTATTCTGTACTGGCTGGTGTCAGGAGCCAGTGCTGGCAGAAATATTCTGGTGCTGAGACACAGCTGTGGTGCTGTGTTGCTCTGTGTTTAGTGATTTTACCAACACTAAATATTCAAATCAGTTTTAACAGAATCCACTCCAAACCTTCATTTTAGTGTATGCTAGACCCCAGTGGAAACACCCCATGTGAGGAAGTTACAGTCGTAGATTCCATGTTCAGGTCAGCATCATACATATTTATTACCTTTGAAAAAAAATAAATTTAAAGAAACACTCGTGCTTCTGCATTTCCCTCCTCAACCCATACAATGATGAATAAAAGAACTGCTTGCCTCACAAGCATGCAAAGCTTCTTCCCATCTGTAAAGAGCTCTGCATGGTTTCTCTTGCTTGCAGATGACAAGACTTTCCAGTGTGAGATGTGCTTCAGATTCTTTTCTACAAACAGCAACCTTTCAAAACACAAGAAAAAGCACGGGGATAAGAAGTTTGCCTGTGAAATCTGCAATAAGATGTTCTACAGGAGGGATATCATGCTAGACCATCAAAGAAGACACTTGGGAGGTAAGTTTACTGCAGATCAACCTAATTATTACTCTCAAAACAGCAGTAGAGGTGAGAAAGTTAGGAAAATGGCTGTGTGCATTAGATTCTTCTGGATGGTAGCTGTCATTTTATTGTCAGTTACCTGATCCAGAGTAGCAACTTCCAGCAAAATGTGACATTTATTAAAAATAATAGTCATGGATCCTGCAGGGGAGTTGTCTAATTCTGTGAAAAACTTTCTAGGAGATGCACTTGCTTTTTTTTTCAGCCTCATGTGATTGAATCCAGTGCTTCTAACAGTCATGTGAAAGCTGCTTGGCTTATTATGCAGTAGTTTAGACTAGCTGATTTTAATTATGATTTGAATTCTGTTCTTCTTTTTTTTTAAAAAAAAAATTGTGTGGTAGCTTTAAAATCTGAAGGCAGAGAATTAACCTGCCATGTACAACTGGAAGTGGCTACTATAGAAGTATAGTATCAATAGGATGCTGTGGGATGTTATCTTTCAAACACCTGAGAATATATGAGAATGAGATTATGAGAGTTTACTGTGCAAAATCTCAAGCATCTAAGGATGTTGTAGGTACTGAGAGACTGGAAAAACTTCACAGATTGCTAAATATGGATTAAAATGCCTTTGGTGATCTAGATGATAAAACCAAAGGTGATTTAAAAAGAACAGCCAGACTGTCTGACTTTGTGTTTTGGGCATAGGTGATTGTCACTGGCTCTTTTTTGTGGTTCAGGCCTTTGTGTCAAGAACCAGAGGAGAGACAGAGGACAAGGGGCTGAATGACAATGGACAAGTGTCTCATTTTTAGCTGTCACAGAAGAGCTGGAGCCCTCTGTCCTCTTGAAAGGAGCAGGGAAAGAGGTCTGAAATCCTCACTGAACATTAAAGCTGATGCTGAATTGTTGCCTGTCTTCTTAGAGACTCTCCCTCTCCCTCTTCTTAGTGAAAATATTTAAATATTTGATTGAAGTACCAAGGCCTCCTAGATCTGCCTGTTTCCTGGTGTTGACAACAAATGTGTGTTTTCAGACACTTTACAGTTGGTGTAATAACCAATAAGCCATAGCACATCACTTTGGCAGACTGCTTTTGTATTCTTAAGACACAGTTTTAATTTAGAAATCACCCTTTTGTTATCAATTAAATCCTGCATCGAGGCCCTTCCCCGTGTTTCATTAACTCTTCTCCCTCCAGTACTCCCCTGAGAGGGCCTGCAGATTGGAGTGGAAAACCATGGTTTATTTTTTTTGCTTTGTCTTTTTGGTGGGGCCTGTTCTGTGAAGGGGTGAGGCGTGTGAAAAGAGAAGACTTTGAGCACAGCACGGAGAACATGGTTCGCTACAAGAAGGAGCCTTCGGGGTGCCCCGTGTGTGGGAAGGTGGGTGCGTGTGCCAGCTCTGCACTGTAGCTCCAAGGATGTCACAGTTCAGCCTAGAGAAGAGAAGGCTGAGATACAAACATCTCCCAGGTGGGTGTCAGAGGATGGGGCCAGGCTCTCCTCGGTGGTGCCCAGTGACAGGACAAGGAGCAGCGGCTGTAAATTAAAACAAAAGAAGTTCCAGCTCAACATGAGGAAGAACTTCTTTCCATTGAAGGTGGCAGAGCACTGGAACAGCTGCCCAGGCAGTTTGTGGAGTCCAGTCAAGACATTACTCTTTAAACAGCCATTGTATCCAAACCCACTGTGATGATGGGAGCTGTTAGGACAGAGAAAAGAACAAAACTGAAGTTCAGGCAAGACCTTTTCTTTCAGGACATGCAGCACAATGTAGTGTCACACATGGCCACTCTGTGTCAGTGAAATCTCATGGCTTATGTTTAATTTAAAGTGGAGTTTTTCTGCCAGGATGTAAACAGCTGGAGTTGACTGTGTGCATTGGGAGTCACTTGTTGCATTTGGGTGTTTAGCACTCAGGAGCTTAACTTGCTGTTATCACAGAGAGTTTAACTAGTGATTTTATAAATGTTTAATGGTTCATGGTGCTAAATGCACCTGAGCAACTACTCTTAAGCTGGTGTGTAGACCCTCTGGTTTTGATGCTTTGGATGTGTTACATACCAATCAAGGTAAATTTTGTGCATACATCTTTTTATAGACAAATGGAACATTCATGATTCAAAAGACACTCTAAATGTTTCTAATTCTACCCTCTGTAATTCTGCTGCAGCTTTTTTGGAAGTCCATCTCTGATGAATGGCCAGTTTCAGTCAGTTCCTTGGAACTTTGCCCCTGGATTTTGCCATGCCAGCAGTTTCTTAGGTAGCCTGTTGGCTGGCTAACAGGAGATCCTACATGTTTCTGGTCAGAATGAATCAAAAAGACAGTAAATATATTCTGTGCTCTCTATTGGATAAATTACAGAACTGTAGCCCTGCTGGACATGGTCTAAAACTCCTTAATTCCTTCCTTCCTTCCTTCTTTGCTTTTAGGTATTTTCATGTAGGAGCAACATGAACAAACACCTTCTAACACACGGAGACAAGAAATACACTTGTGAAATCTGTGGACGTAAATTTTTCAGGGTGGATGTGTTGAGAGATCATATTCATGTCCATTTTAAGGTATTGTGTTAATATTTCATTAGAAAAGGCAGATTGTTTTGACATAACTAGGTTATCACTGAACTGTAACGGATTGAATTGAAAGGGAATTGTATCACTCAGTGGTTCTCATAAAGATGCTTGTACAGATGTAATACTGTACCAGTTGAGTCTCTTTACATTAAGGTTCCTTTTATACACACAAACAATTAGTACTATTTGTTTGAATTAAAAAAAATTAACGTTGTTTGTTTGAATAAACAGTTATTCCTTGTGTAGTCGTGGACAGAGGAACTTTGTTGACCTGGATTGAATGAAGCAGGAGGATATTTTAAATAAATAATATTGCAGCAATTGTTAATGCAATGGCATTGTCTGCATGGCAACAAAAGGTGAACGGGTCTTTACCTTTTGAAGAATAAGTTTAATCTATTAAATGTTCTTTCCCACTCTTCACAGGACATAGCCCTCATGGATGATCACCAGAGAGAAGCATTCATTGGTAAAATTGGAATCTCATCAGAGGAAAATGATGACAACTCTGATGAAAGTGCAGATTCTGAGCCTCACAAGTATAGCTGCAAAAGGTGCCAGGTAGCTTTAAATACTTTTTGTTTTGGGATGGGGATGAGAGAGTGGAGATGTCTATAAATCATTCAGAACTTTGAATAACATTAAGGGTTTTCAAAGAGAAGGACAGTCCACAGGTCTGCAGTGCTTGTTACCTCTAATCTGTGATGTTATTCCATAAGGCTTTAGGTGGTGTTCTGTAAGGTGGATGCTAAACACTTACAAAGAGAAATACAGATATATTCACTTAGCTATGGAAGGGAACAAGCAACACTGGAGGAAGAATCACTAAAGGAACATTTCAGATCAATAAGGAACATTCAGATCTTTTACTACCTTTTGATTACGCGCAAATTAAAATCATTGCAGCATTTCTGAATGACACAGTCCACAGATTAATTGATTTCTGAGACCAGATGGTCCTCTAGTGGATATCCAGTCTGGGGAATCAAGAGTGCTGCTTATGTTCAGCGTGGCTGCTTGTTCTTGGGCTGCTCTGGGAATGTCAGGAATGGCACTGGGATTACTGCTGGAATGCAGTTTACCCAGTTGTCAGCTGAGAGAGGAAAGACTTTTGAAACCTTTTGCTGCATGGCTTTTGCCATTTGGTAAAGAAATAACGGGGTCCTTAAGGCCTATTTGGATTCTGTGCCCTGACTGTGCTGGGGCAGGTGGGATGCAAAAAAAAAAAAGTGAGGAAAAAAAAAGCAAAATTGGCCAAATTGACATAGGGACAGGGGAGATTTTGGTAGTTAAGCCACTGACTTGACCCCTGGAAATCAGAGCTTATTTCACAGTCCCCACTTGATGTGGTGAAAGTTCTTACCTTATCTTCATTTTATAACCTGGGAATAATAATCCTTGAGTTTTCTGTTCTCATCTATGAACTGGTATAAAGTGAAAGCTGATTCGAAGCTTATGCCAGTAAACATAAGAAGGTGTGGTGTCACAGCAGTTAATCACATGGCTGCTTTCAGTGTGCTAATTTTCCTGCCTGACACTTCATGGGTACATAAACTGCATAAAATTGTGTGCTTCCAAGTGAGGGCAGTTGGGCCATTCAGATCAGAAAGCTCTTTCTGGAAGGTGGGGGGTTTTTTTAGCACTTTTGCAGGTGTTGGTGAAGTAAAGAGTCGTGTAAGGGAACAGCTGTGGAAAGTGAGATTTGCTGTGAGGAGGTGGGGAGGCACTTTTGGGAAACGGAACAGCCAAAGGGAAAACAACATACAAATGAGTCTTGGTGAAATCCCTCTTCTGAGATCTGAAGAATCTCTGTGGTTTTTTTGTCATCCCAAAGTACCTCTTCACCAAGCTGTGCAGTACTGTCAGAAATACCCTGACTGGTTTCAAAACTGAAACAAGAGGTCATGTCATTATGGCACTTTGCCCTGATGTTCCGGAGCATGTCTGGATATGCTGGATCATTTTGGATACGCAGGGTTACGTAGCCCAGGGAGCTCAGTAGTGGAGCACCTGTCTGTCACAGCTTTAGCACTTCCAGGAGGTGAGCTGGAGGCACTGCCCTGCAATGCCTAGAAATTCCAACTCTTCTGAAGCCAGTGCCAAAGCTGACTGTGCCGACTAGAGCTTGCCATGCCCTTAGAGCCCAGCAGACATTTCTTCCACCTGTGGCATCCTCACTTTGACAGCTGGTGGAGGTTAAACATGGGTCTCTTCAAGGCTGTTCCTCAGTGCACGACTAATTTGGGGTCCTCTTCTTGTGCAGTGTAAGAAGTGGAGACACCGTCTCGAGCAGGATTTCCAAACGAACCGATGTCCTGTAGCAGCGTGCCTGTAATGGCCAAAGGGGTTCAGGCCTAAATCCAGCTTTCACAGATTTTTCATCTAGTGATACACAGGGTATTGAAGTGATACACAGGGTATTGAAGTGATACACAGGATATTTAAATGATACACAGGGTATTGAAGTGATACACGGGATATTCACGTTGACTCACCCCAACTCGAGATCCTGGCAGTGCGCTCCCAGCTCATTGCTGCACCTGAGGACTTTTTCCCCCTTTCATTCACTATTGGTTCATTCCCCAGCTGACTTTTGGCAGAGGGAAGGAGTACCTGAAGCACATCATGGACGTGCACAAGGAGAAGGGCTACGGCTGCAGCATCTGCAACCGGCGCTTTGCCCTGAAGGCGACGTACCACGCGCACATGGTCATCCACCGGGAGAACCTGCCTGACCCCAAGGTGCAGAAGTAAGACATGTGGCACTGATAAGAGGAACCATCTTCTTGGAGTGACAGTGGCTCTGCCCCCTGGTGCTTTTAGAGAAGCAGTGACAGGACCGGAGGGAATGGCCTGAAGTTGTACCAGGGGAGGGTTAGGCTGGATCTCAGGATAAGGTTCTTCCCCCAGAGGGTGTTTGGGCACTGAACAGGCTCCCCAGGACAGTGGTCACAGCACCAAGGCTGACAGAGCTCCAGGAGTATTTGGATGATGCTCTCAGGCACATGGTGTGACTCTTGGGGATGGTCCTCTGCAGGGCTAAGGGTTGGACTCTGATCCTTGTGGGTCCCTTCCAGCTGGGCATATTCTCTGTAATTGGGCTGTACTAAAAATATCTGAAACAGTATAATGAGTGTTAAAATGTTTATTAAAAGCTTAAGTAAATATCACTGGTGATTGACTTCACTTAGTCAACAGCCTCGGAGTTTGGGCTTTGCAAATTATAAATCAATGATTTTAATAAGTTTTTTTTTTTAACTATTTTTTGAGCCAGGCTGCTCCAAGCTTGCAGTCAACTTAGGGGTTTCTTAAGGTTCATTTTAAAAAAATTTAAGCTTCAAGGAACTTTTATAGTAATTAGCATTAGCGAATGAAACAGAATTGCTGACAGAGATGCCTGAAAATCACTTCTGTCTCAAGAAGAGAATCGCAGTTTTTGGTCTCTTTGGTTTCAGATACATCCACCCATGTGAAATCTGTGGAAGGATTTTTAACAGCATAGGAAATCTGGAAAGACATAAGCTTATACATACAGGTAAAAATGTTGTGTTTCTTTATAATTATCAATATAAAAAAGAAATTTCTATTGCCAGTGCCTGCCTTTCTTTTTTTCTTTTTTTTTTTTTGGCTGGAGGAAAAAAACTTACTGTTTTTTACTGTAAGATACAATCAGATAATGTTATATTTTTGCTTTTAGGGTAGACTCGTTTTCTAAAGCAGGTAATATTAATGAGATTTGATCTGGGCACACAATCAAAATTCCTAGATAATATGATGTTGCAGGATTCACCTAATTCTGTGTTCTGTACTTCCCCAGATTCTTATCCATGCCACCTTCTCACCATTACACAGGCTGAAAACTGCTACTGCAAAATCATTTTTAAAAGCTCATTACTATTTCATGCTACTCAGTATTTTCCTACCTCAGGCTTTACCTCTTTTTTTTCCCAGATCTTACACAAAAAAACCAACTTTCCTCTCTCTCCAAATTTAGTTTGAGCTACAATATGCATGAAAGGTGTGGTTGACAGCACAAGGGGGGCTGTTGCCTTCTTTAGTCACCATTTTAGTCAGTTTTTAGGAGATGCACATTTTTCATTAACATTTTTTTTTTGTTGTTTATGTTGTCTTTTAAATTTATTTTTAAGGTGTAAAAAGTCATGCTTGTGAGCAATGTGGCAAATCATTTGCTAGGAAAGACATGTTAAAAGAACATATGCGGGTCCATGATAATATCCGAGAATACTTGTGTGCAGAGTGTGGCAAAGGTATGTCTGATGCCTTGTTTTCCATTAATTGTGATACTGAATAGCAGGTGAATATCTGAATTTAGACCCCTTCCATTCTTAAAGAGTATTTGGGAAGGTCTGGGAGTGCTGTAAATCCTGCATCTTTGAGAGGTAGAAACTGTGTTAATCAGGGGCCTTAGGGTTACATAAACTACCCCTAATTTTATACAGTTTAGTTTTATGGCCTGTAAGAAAACAGTGATTTTTACAACACACCTGACTATGTTCTAATGCATTTGCAGCACAGAAGGGAATGCAGGTTGATTTTTTTTTTTTTCATTCTAGACTTGTTTTCGGGCTTAAGAAATGGAATAATTTCTCTCTGTAAGAGCCTTAAATGTCAAAGTTGCTTTGACTTTTTTAATTGCTCGTGTTACAACTTGGACAAATCTGACCTGGTATTTTAGTGGAAGGCAGTAGTAAGTCTGACACCTCTAGTGATGCTTTGTCTTTGCTTGTCCCTGCTGTTTTGCTTCTTCCTCAGTGGTTACTCAGATGTTTTCCAGAGCTTTTTCCTGGAATTAAAATAATAATGTGCATTGCTACATAAACAATTAAAAATGTGCAGTTGTGGACTTGAGGCAAATATAAGCTTAGAGCTCTTGGGTAACAACATGATCATCCTGAGTTCTCTGAAGGTGGGAGCAGTGGAGTGACTGTCTTGCTGTACCTTTTGTCTCACAGGAATGAAGACAAAACATGCACTTCGTCACCACATGAAACTTCACAAAGGGATTAAGGAATATGAGTGCAAGGAATGCCACCGAAAATTTGCACAGAAGGTCAATATGCTGAAGCATTACAAGAGACACACAGGTGAGAGCTCTAAAAGTGGCACTGAATCAGTTAAATACTTCCCAGTAGAGAACTCTTACCTAGAACAGTCAGAGAGTATGAGGAAAACTAATAAAATACGTATATTCTGCTTTTTGAAAAGTGAGATTTTGTCCTCTTCTCAGCTGACATCACCCGTTCTGCAACTGGAGAGATACAGTTTAGTTGGCTTCAAGCTTTGCTTTTTTTGAGAGTGGTTGTTTAGGTCTAGGATAGGTCCAGAGCATTGGCTTGGCTTTAAGTTAGTCTTCAGGTTCCCATTTCCCAAAATTTTGCCTCCCACATCGGTTTCTCTTGGATTTATTTTCTGCCCGATATAGTGCCATGGCTTTGATGAAAGTGGGTGGTGAAGCTGGGCTTCTTCTACTTGTTTGACTGTGTTTTTTATGGTTTTTTTTAATGTTAGTAATATGAAACTGGATTGTCCTGCATACCTTAGGCTCCTTTCACAGATGCTAAATGTGCTCTTCATGCAGGAATCAAAGATTTCATGTGTGAGCTCTGTGGCAAGACGTTCAGCGAGAGAAATACAATGGAGACTCACAAGCTCATTCATACAGGTAAACCCTCTAAAAAACAGTGTCCAGCAACAGTATCTTAATTCTGTTCTTAGGCTTGCTTTAGTCTTGCCAGTCTTTGGTGTTGCACCTCCCGTTACCAAACGCAAATTGTTCCTCTTGCCGAGGTGTTGACAGTACGATACTCATCTGTTGGGTTTCCTTCCATCTGCCACCAGTAGGAAAACAGTGGACGTGTTCAGTGTGTGACAAGAAGTATGTCACTGATTACATGCTGCAGAAGCACATCCAGCTCACTCACGATAAGGTGGAAGCCCAGAGCTGCCAGCTGTGTGGGACAAAGGTTTCTACCAGAGCCTCCATGAGTCGGCACATGAGGCGTAAACATCCAGAGGTGAGTTAGTTTGGCAGGTGGATTGTGGGTTTGGTTTGGAGGGTTTTTTGGCCTTCAGTGACTTGAATTAATTTTTTTCCCTTTTTCTGCTTTTTTGGAGCCAGTTTTAGGCAGTGTCTGTGAAACATGCACTTAACTGAATCAGCCATTTAACTGTGTTACGTGTTTCAGTAGTAAACAGATCTGATTGCCAGTCCCTGAAAATGAAGTTCTTCTGATTATTTAAACCGCTTTTTCTTTCTCTGCCTCAGCTTAAATGTGTGTTTTTTGATGTTTTGTCTTCATCCATTAGCGAGTATAATGGATTCTTTTTTCCCCCCATTGTGTTCCCTGTGTTCAGAAATGATCTGAAAGAAGTGGTGAATAGAGAGGTGGTGGCAGCATCTGCTGATGATACAAAATTATTCTCAGTATTAAAGATGAATGCTGACTGGAGAGAATCTGGATTAGAGGGATGTTTTGTCTGACCCCAACGGGGTTTTTTCTGTGTTCTAATTTTCTGAATAGCTGTTGTGTTTCTCCTCAGCATTTCTTGCTTAGGTTTGACTGAGGCTTGTCCGTTCCCTTTGAGGCTTTTTTTTTTTTAAACTGCCAATTTATCATTATTGTTGCTTTGCTGTTTTATCATGATGACTGTGAAGGAAGTCGATTTGGGGATTAAAAATGCTCTATTCTTTGATGAGCTGACATGTAGAGATTCAGCTGAAAATAATGAAGTAGGACGCAGTAGTTTTTTTAAACACATTGTTTTCTATATAATTCATCCCTTCTCAGTGGGTTGTGTTCTGTCTAGAAAATAAACACGTTCTTCTACTGGTGTCCTTAAACTTTGCTGGTTTTCAGTGAGAATGAGAAGACTTTATACCAAAAGGTTATTTAGAAAAAAGCCATGGTTAACTCCTTCATATTAAATGATACGTGTAAAATGTTAGATTTACATCATTTTGGCTTTGTGACAGGATTTACTGGGGAGATCCTGTATTGTTCCGACCGCAGCTCACCAGCTGATACCTCTTTGTCTACAGATCCTTTCAGTGAAGATTGATGATTTAGAGCAGCTGCCAGAGACAACAACCATTGATGCCTCTTCCATTGGGATTGTACAGGTAAATTCCAGGCCCACTGGAGGGTGAGGTGGGGACATTTTTGGTACATAACATAGCTGAGCACAGGCTGTGGGTGAGGAATGTGCTTTCTCAGAGCCAGCCCAAGAGTAACATGTCCAAACAACTGCAGGTTCTTGATCTGTTTGGTTGTGTAACAGGGGTGCTGGTAAGACAGAAATAATTACAGGGTGAGGTCTCGCTCCCCCAAATCAGGTTTTTCTAAAGTTTATTTCTTCATTTGAGAACTGACAGTAAAACAGCTTCAGGTGATAGGCTCTTGCTTGGAACTTCACTAAGCAAAAGGACTTGATGTTTTGTTTGGAATTGTGTTGCTCCAGCCGGAATTAGCATTGGAACAGGGAGAATTACCAGAAGGGAAACAGCACATTAAAGCTCCTAAACGTGGCCAGAAACGAAAACAAAAGTCTGGTGAGGAGGAGGAAGCTCAAGTGCCTGAGGATCCTGCCTTCAGTGAATACACAGAGAAGGAAGGTGAATTCACGGGGAATGTTGGAGATGAGACTAATTCAGCTGTACAGAGCATCCAGCAGGTGAGCTCCAGGAGCAGGGTGATGGGTTGCAGGCATTGCTTGGAGGGATAACCCTTCGGTTTTGGCTAATTGCAAACACAGAAGTGTGAGTGGAACATCTGAAGCTGATTTGATAAACTGTGATAGTACAAAGATGGATAGGGATTTTAAAAAAACAAGGAGTTGGACCAGTAAGCTCCTTATGTTTGTTTTCATTTCCTTTGGTGTTACCATCTCCTTGTTTGCCAGGTACCACTAACTGGCTGATTAAAGAATGAGATTGAAAGCAGAAAACTTAATTTGGCTGCTTGTTTTGGATGTTGCATGTCCCCCTCTCCCATTACCATCATACTGCTAAATATCGAAGTTGTTATATTCCAAGTTTTCTATGTTCCCCTCTGCATGTGACTTCTCCTGCTGGCAGTAGCAACATGTGAGCCCATCAGGGGGTCTTCCTTGACGATAATCAGGTGCAAGGTCTAAGGCTGAGGTCACCTTTGTGTTTCCCCTCAGGTGGTGGTGACCCTCGGCGACCCAAACGTCACAGCCCCTTCCAGCTCTGTGGGGCTCACAAATATCACCGTCACCCCCATCACGACAGCAGCTGGGACCCAGTTCACAAACCTCCAGCCCGTGGCCGTGGGCCACCTGACTGCCCCGGAGCGCCAGCTGCAGCTGGACAACTCCATCCTCACCGTCACCTTCGACACCGTCAGCGGCTCCGCGATGCTGCACAACCGCCAGAGCGACGTTCAGATCCAGCCCCAGCCAGAGGCTGCCAACCCCCAGTCCGTGGCCCACTTTATAAACCTGACCACCCTGGTGAACTCCATTGCTCCTCTGGGGAACCAGATTTCGGAACAGCACCCCCTGACCTGGAGGTCGGTGCCTCAGACTGATGTCCTGCAGCCCCAGGCACCGGCGACGCAACAGCAGCCGGGGCAGCAGCCGGTTCAGACAGAGCAGCAGCAGCAGCAGATGTACAGCTATTAATTTATAACTTTGGGAAGTTTTGAAATGGACTGTACTCAGAGACAAAAAAAAAAAAAAAAAAAGGAAAATTTCCAATAGGATTGTTTGCTGGATACCAAACAGAGACGGGAAAATGTTTATGCATTGAGGTGTGAGGTGAAATTGGCGTAGCAACACCCTGCAACACCCCTGATCTGAGATTCTCATGCTGTCTCTAGTCCTTGCACTGTCTTAACAACAACAAAAAAAAAAAAAAAAAGGAAAAAAATCTCAAAATCTCACCACAAATTCAGCATCCCCTTACACTTGTGCAGTAAGATTGAGATTTGACAGGTGCATCATTATACACCTTAACCAAAGCAGGGAAATCCTAAATATTACGGCACTTGTGATGTACAAAACCCTTTCAGCCATACCATGTCACTTCTCTCCAGTCTGGAAGTGAAATATGAAGACCTTGTTCTCAGTGAGTGGAATGTACTTGTGGTCAGCTGGTAGAGACTGAAATGTGAAGACACAAACGGGCAAAACAGTAATTGTCTTTGTTTCTTATCTTCTTTAGGTCTTATATCTTAACAACATTGGTAAACTAGGTGGAATTTGGGGCTTTGGGGTGGGCATGAGTGTGGTGTGGAAGAAAATATACCAATTTTACAAAGTATTTCCATTTTAGTCATGGGAAAAACCCTGTACCCATCACACAGTGTTAGTGCTACTTGAATCAGACAGCTGGTCTGATGCTAAAGCAACTTTTATGGTCTTCTAGTCAAGTTTGAATCAAACCAATTACAAACTGGAAAAAAAAAAAAAAAAAGAATGTGATACAGTTTTCTGTAATTTTTCAAACCTGCTCTTTCAATCTTGCTTTTAGCTAATAGGCCTGAAGAGCAATCAGTCCCCTTTGATCAAGTTCAGGATGTGAATTTTTTTCAACTAGACTTATTTCATCGTGTACTAAACATTTGAGAAAGCATTTTTTTATATATATATATATACATATACATATATATATATTTAATGGCCAGTCTTCGCGAGCGAAGATCCGGGGAAGGTCTTTCCACCTTCCAGCCTGCGCATTGGATTTTTTAGGTGAGACACAGTGTGCGCGGAACTGAGCCCACCCTTTAATCCTAAGGTTCATCTGCCGGGGCCAAGCGAGCTTGGACGGTGGCAGCGAGGTCTTCAGGACGTAGATGGATTGCCTTTTACAGGGTTAACGAGCTCCACCTGCCCGGGGAGTGTCCCCGACCGGGAATCGATATATTATATATATATATAGCCTTTGTACTTTACTGTGTGTTCCTGGTGAATATTTGTGTGAAAAACACTGTTGCCAATACGATTCATTAATTTTTTTTTCATCCCCGTGTTGCCTTTTCTCACAGAAATAACATACGGATTCTGTTCCTTCTGTTTCCAGAAGTATTTCCAAAATCCATGGCCACACACGCAGGGCTGTGTGAAATGCAGGAAAAGGGAATGTCTGAAGCATGTTCTGTGTGCTGCCACATGGAGTCAGTGTGCCCCAGTGTATAACGGGCAAGGTTTGCATGACTGTTGGGGATACAAATAGTGGGTTGGGTCAAAGACATCTTTGCTGACACTTCACTCTCATTCTGTTCTCCATACATTGATGTGCAGTCTGGACTTTTGCATGTCAAGAAGGTAGTGTTGTTCCCACAGGAAAAAAAAAAAAAAAAAAAAGAGAGCTGATAGCAAAAAGGAATAAACTAAAAAAATATATATATATAATATGTTGCTGCCTGGAATCCTGAAAGACAAATCTGTCCTTCCAGCTCAAGAACAAGGTCTTTTTGGGGCAGCTGACTGAGCCACAGAACCTTGCTGGAGGTTCTCGCTGAGGATAAAGCAGCTGCTGTGTTTGACAGTGAGAATGGGTTGATGGTTGTAAAAATCCTGTCTGTGCCTATCACAGTTATGAAAATGTTCTTTATATTAGCAAAAATACAAATAGGAACGACTTCAGCTTTGAAAGTCTCTCTTAACATGGACTACTTGACCCCTAAAGGATGCCTTATGATCTCTGCAACAAATTCTTCCAAAGTATAAATGTCTGGATATTAAAATTAACCTCCAGTGGTTTTTTTTTGTGCCATAACAGCGTCCAGAGCCTTGCTATGCCAGACTCTGTGTAAAGCTGCAGGACATGTATGAGAAGGGGGTTTCTGGTGACAGATTTTGTGTGTCAGAGAAGCAGTACTAACTTTTCTGTAAATGTCAACAAGTCTATAAAATGTCTGCATGGGGGAGACCTGTATTTGATGGGAAAGAGAATTTTTCATTCCCTACCCCCTTTTGTCTTCCTCAGATACTTTTCACACAATATAATGAGATCCTGTAATTTTTTAGATTCCCAATATCCCAGGAAGCAGAGTTCCTGGATTATTTCATCACTGGCTTGAGCTAATTAAGTTTCTCCTCAGCTGTCTTGTCCACAGATGCTTCCCTTTCACACCAAGCCCGCTGGGCAAGAGGAAGCTAGGTTTTATTTACAAAATATGCTGTTTATGTACTTTAAACTTCTTTTTTTCCCGTGTTTGGTGCCTAATTGGTACAGGCACGTTATCTGTTGGCAGGGTACTTTGGAGAGAGGGGGGGAAAAAAAAGGGAAGGAAGGCAAATGGAGAGGTCCTAGATCGAGTTGTTGTGGTAAATAAAGATGGCTAACATCTAAAAAGATACATATCTATATATATATGTACACACAGATGGAGGGTTACAGTGCTGCATATAGAATTTCTACAACAAAGTTTTGTTTAGACATGTAAATAGTGATTAAGGTTTTAACAGGGGGAAAAAAAGAAGGGTTTTGCCTTAGCAGAGTCCATCTGCTCCATGTTAATACTACTGACAGTAGCACTGATGGCTGCATTTAATCAACCTGCATCATTTTAACACATAATTTCCTGTTTGATAAGAACTGCACATGGAGGTAATGGACCACTAAGAGACCTCTCTGGCTTTACAAAACCTCTTTACCCTGATGTGGTGCCCTGGTTTTCTGTACTCTCGTGTAGCCCAGCCTGCCACCCACACCACCTGGCCTTCATATTCCCATCCAGGCAGGTGGGATCTTGCCTTTCTGGGAGGCATTGATTCCAACTGATTTCAGAAGGAATGATCACACAGTGAGTGCTTGCAGGTTGGTGGTCACGTAGAAATGTCCATCACTTGTCTCTCAGTATCCTCAAAATCTTATAATTGGAAGGCACCTCAAAAGATGATCTGGTCCAGCCTTTTTTGGGCAAAGGGAGCTTGGGTGAGGTTACAGATTCATAGAATAATCATTATCCAGCACCCTATCCAATTGCATCTTTACAATCTCCAGTGACAGGGACTCCACCACATCCCTGGGCAGGTTGTTCCAGTGGATGGTTGTTCTTCCTTAGAAATTATCTTAAATAATATTCAGGAAGGAAAAATATAACCACTGGAAGGGCTTTGGCTGTGTCAGGCAATAGAAAGTTTTCTACAGGCTGATCTTCCCAGAGCACTCCTTTGAGACAGGAGAGTGACTTTCCCTTGCTATGGTACCTCATCATCTCTCAGCATGACTTTATCATTACTACTGTTATCAGCATCCCTACAAGAACACAACTGTATCTTGGGTGTGCTGCACCATGAAAAAAAAAATTTTTCAAAAAACAAAATTCTTGTGTTTGCTTTTGTTTCAAATGATTTTGTTTGGAGAGGTTGGAAATAGCTGCCTTTCCAGGCAGAGCTTACCTTGGGCAGGCAGTGGCTCTTGTCCAGCATTTTTCAGGTGAATACCAAAGTTGTACCGATGCTGTTTCCAAACTGCACAGGAAACAGAAGCTCCTCAAGGGATGTGCAATCCAAATTTCCTTCCCCCATTCGTTACCTGCCTCCTCAGCTGTAGGACATGAAGGTTATTGGTTTTCAGCCACGGGTGTTGAGAGATTTCTGCATAACAACTGTTCAGTCGCAAACTGGAATTACTTGGAGCCAAAGGAGTGATGTTGTGTAGTGTTCTGTGTATTGTCATTGTTTGCTGATGAGACTGTTTAATTGAATGCTGTCTGTGGCACACGGGCTCTGAAGTAAAAGAGCATCAAGGTACAGAACCCTTTCTCTACCAGTGTTATTCTTTCCTGTTCCTTCATTAAGGCTTCAAACATTTTTTTCTTCAAATCACGTAGATTCGTGTCAAAAGCAATAAGCTCAATCATTATCTCACAGAACTTTGTGGATCCCACAGTATACAGAAACATGAGGTAGAAACAGGTTCTAAAATATTTGTTCTACAGCTTGGTGATAACAGAAACCAGAGGAGATTGAACCTTCCTTGGCTGTGCTATGTGGTGAGTTCTCTCAGGAAAAATGACTGTATAAAGTGCTATTATGCTCTCTAAATCTAGTTTATTTTTTTTTTTAGCTGTGCCACTATGAAAAGTGAGTCTTTTGGCACAAACCTACCAGTCAGTCTCCTGTCAGTCTAACCAGCTACATTTCTGTATCGTTTTATTGTTCCAGAGGTTGGTTTGAAGTTAATAGCCAGGAAGCAGTTGGATTTATTTCAAGAACCGAGTTTTCCTGCCAGTTTGTCAGAGTGATTTGCTGTTGTTCTGCATACATAAAGATGTCTCAATTTCTCATCTTGAAAACTAGGAATGGAACAAAAACCATACATCTAAATGACAGTTATATGCAAACTATAGGTGCTACATGGAAATGCATGGGGTGAATAGCTTTGTTAGCGTTGCTTTGGGAACTATTCAGCAATAAGATTTCCTTGGTGCTATTTAATAATAATGTCGCTCCTAATTCCTTTTGGCCTGACATTTATTATTGGTTTGGGTGTACCTGCTGGAAAGTCTTTAAAATCTTGTACTTTTGGCTGCCTTTTCACGGTGGCTGTGATCTGGTGTAAAGGGAGAAGGAAAAATATGGGAGGAGGATAGTGCTCATCCACACCACGATGCACAGTGAAGCTCTGCTTGGAAAGTGTGTTTTTGGAGATGAGTTGCTGAGGTTTGTGTTCACATAGCGGCTTTTCACTACAGCACACCCAAAGTGTCATGGTGGCAACGGGTTAGAGGGAAAAAAGTATTTCTGTCGTGTTTTTTGTCAACTCAGTGATTTTCTCCGGTGCTGAGATGCTGCCCTAAAGTGATTTTAGAAAGCTCTACTGGATCTGTTTTCCCTCCTGGATGCTGAAAGGCTGTTCTGGGTGTGTGTCAATTCAGACAGGATTCAGCATGTGCAGCCCCTGCAATGGAATTACAGAATGGTTTGGGTTGGAAGGGACCTTAAAGATCATCCAGTCCTGTCCAACCTGGCCTTGGACACTTCCAGGGATGGGGCAGCCACAGCTTCTCTGGGCAACCTGTGCCAGGGCCCCACCACCTTCACAGGGAAGAATTTCTTTCTCATAACCAATCTAGCCCTACTCTCTTTCAGTTTAAAGCCATTCCCCCTTGTCCTGACACTACCTATGAAGTGGAAGGGACACTGAGGGTGAGACTTGTCCAGGGGACTTCTGAGTCACCCCCAGAGTCAGGACTTCATTATTATTTGTAGTGAAATGCTCTTGTCTTTCTGCCTTATCCATGAGCAGTGTTGACCAGGCACAGTGCCTGATTAGTTGCTAACATTTCAGAAAAGCTGATTATTGGGTGCAATGGCTGCAGAGCAGCTGATATCAAAAGCAATTTAAAAATACCAAGTTTGGGGATTTATTTCAACTAAAGCTAAGTTTTTCAGTTCTAATGGTTTGTTTTTTTGCTGTCAGTTGAGTGCTTTCCTGTACTGTTCTGTTTCCTTGCAGATTTTGATTCTAAGAAGCTTTCAAGGTCTCCTGGAAATGTAGTAAAAAAGGCTAAAAAAAAAAAAAACAAAAAAGGTGTAATAGTGGCAGAATGAGGCGTTAAAATTAGGAGAAACTAATGGTTCTCATTTTCTACAGATTTCCACCCTTTTCCTGCCCACCTGAACCTGAGGTTCTTGCCGTGATGGTATCCCAGGGAAGGAGGCTGCACATGCTCTGGCTCGTTTGCCAAAATTCCTCGCGCAGGGATTGACGCGCTGGGTGTTGTTACTGAGAGCAGACACCAGCAAAGCTCTGCCAGCCTTTCCCCTCCAGCCGTGTGCTCGTTCCAGTATCTCCTCCTCCCAGCACAGCTGGCTGTGTTCACAGAGCTCAGTGACCTTGGTGTCTCCAGGACTCGGATCTTTCCCGTTTGGTGAACAAAAAATCACGGGGTCATTTAGGCTGGAAAAGGCCTCCCAAGGTCATCGAGTCCAACCTGTGACTGAACACCACCTTGTCACTGAGTGCCGCATCCATTTGTTTCTTGAACACCTCCAGGGAAGGTGACTCCACCTGGGCCGCCCATTCCAATGCCTGACAACCCTTTCCATGAAGAAATTCCTCCTGATGACCAATGTGAACCTCCCCTGGCGCAGCTTGAAGTCATTTCCTCTTGTCCTGTTGCTGGTTATCACAGAATCGTAGAATGGTTTGGGATGGAAGTGGCTTTAAAGATCATCCAGTTCCAACCCCCTGCCATGGGCAGGGACACCTTCCACCAGCCCAGGTTGCTCCAAGCCCCGTCCAACCTGGCCTTGGACACTTCCAGGGATGGGGCAGCCACAGCTTCTCTGGGTAACCTGTGCCAGGGCCTCACCACCCTCACAGTAAAGCCTTTCTTCCTAATATTCAATCTAAACCTCCTCTCATTCAGTTTGAACCCATTCCCCCCCTGTCCTGTCACTCCAGTTCCTGATGAGCAGTCCCTCTCCAGCTTCCCTGTATGCCCCTTCAGTCCCTGGAAGGTGCTGTGAGGTCTCCACACAACCTTCTCTTCTCCAGGCCCCAACTTTTCTCAGCTTCAAGAAATGGATTCAAAACGGTGGAGAAAGAGGGACCTGAGAGGCAACAAAGAACACTGGAAGTATAGTTAAAAAACGTGAGAACACGTGCTCAGCCTGCTGTGCTGAGCTGTGTGATGAGCTGTGGTGGCTGCAGGGCTGTGAACTAATTAGTGAGTATCACATTCAGACACTTTTTTTTCTAGCAGAATCCATGTCCTGTTACTTGTAGGAGGGGAAAGTGTCCCTGTGTGTTCAGTTTATACCATAAATTCAAACCCAAGGTTTGAATTCACACGCTCGGTGTGTTATGTGCAGCAACATGCAGAAACCAAGGAGTGAGATGATCAATGATAAGGGAATGAGGAAGGCCCACGTTTCACTGCTTTTGGAAGAGCAGAAGCGAGGTTGCAGGCAGTGTTTTCTCAAGAGTGGCTGTCCTTTCTCATGCACAGAATCGAACTACATGATACCAGTGTTGTCAAGGGGGTGACACTGGAATAAAGGGTTGCTTTACAATCAAAAAACCCCCCTAGGAGAGGAGAGGTAGATAAAAAAGAATGACTCTCAATCCACTATGCTGGCTGGTAGATTAAAAAAAAAATAAATTGACTGCATGCTCATACTCCTTTTCCCTTCTCTCCCACCCATGCCCGTGTAAAGACCTCAGTCTGAGCTTTCAAAGGAATGAATACCTTTGTCTGACAGATGGACAGATGGCACTTGCACCCAAGGGCCCTGGTTAGGTTACAAAATTCCAGGTTGCTACATTGCAAATATGGATACATAGGCTGGGGGTATTTGGGCAGGAGCAGGATGGTTTTGGGGCTGTGTGTGTGTCTCTAAAGGCAAAGAAGAGTTGCTTTATTGCCCTCCTGTGAAGTCCACGCTGACGCAAACAGAAGGGTTTTGCTGAAGAGATTGGAACCAGTGACAAAGCACCATTTTTTTTAGACGCAAAAAAGAAGAGCTTAGATTGCATAATCAAAGAGAAAAATGAGAAACTTTGTCCTGAAGGCAAATGCACCTACTTCTCATTCACTCTCCTCCCTTTTTCGCTACTTTTTTTCCCATGAAATACATGCAAATCCCAACATGCACTAAGTTTTCCTCCAGGCATGATAAACTTGTGTGGTTATTTAGTTAAGAAGTGGGTTGAATAGAGATATGAATGTTCCCCTGCAGAACGATCTTGGAAAAGAGTTTTCTATTTACTGCTGCTTTAGAGTCATCCACTCACCCCTGAAAGCATTTGTAGTTAGTATAGGGATATTTGTCATTCTAATTATACAAAATACACATTTCCTTCTTAATTTACTTTGCCTTCTCACAGCACAGCCAGAATTTCTGAATCTACCTATTGGAAAAAAATGTCTAGAAATTAAGTGTAAGCATTTTATCAAAATGAAGAGAGGCTTAAGAAGTAATTCAAGTAGAGCAAGAACTTGCTGTTATCAATTTATGCTCGCAAGAAATCACAAATTCTGGTTGCACAGGACACTTACCAGTCTGGAAGGAGCAAATGAATGTGTGTGGTCTGTGCTTGGCTACAGATCCTTCCAGGTCTCCACTGCCACCTGTACACTCTCGCTTTCAAAGGTGTTTTGTGTGAAGGATGTTGAAAATGGTGGGTTTAGACAACACTAAAAATGGAAGGATTAGAGGGTGAGTGGGCAGGTGGGGTGTAGGGACAAGGAAAGGGGGATGTGGGTGGTTTGGGTGGGATTTAGAGACAAGGTGGGGCTGTGCCGTTATGGGCAGGAGGATTTCAAGGCCCCTCCCAGTTTTCCCTCTGGTGGTTTTTGCCTCTCAGTTTGCCCGTTGGGGCATTACGGATGCTGGCGTTGGTCAATTAGAATAATTACAACTTTGAAATATTTTGTTCCAGTAGTATTAATGCCATGGCTGGGATAACTTTAATATAAAGTTCCCCGACCGTGGATTATTTAATTTGCAGCATAAACACTACTCTTCTTGCCTTTCCTTCTGTCTTTAGGGATGCCAGGATTTCCTGCTCCAGGTCAGTGAGCTGGAGCCCTGGTGGAAGGAAAAAGTTGGTTGTAGCAGTTTAGATTAAACTGTTACGATGTGGGAAGAGTCCCCACTTGGAACACAAGACCATCAGTCCTCTCAGAAGCTTTACAGTAATTAACTTTCTGGTGGGGAAATACTTCCAGATCTGTATTTTTAGTAGCTGGGAGTATAAAGATGCTGCCAGTTATGTTGATGGTGTCAGTGCTTAACACCATGGAGT